TCGGAATTGTTTGGCACGCCCATCCAGGGTCGATTTTGCCAGTTAAAGGGAAACATGGCGACTGTCCAGGTGTGAAAAGATCAAAAGTTTCAACTAAATGATGCATCCACATGACATGCAAAAGTCGTGATAAGGCCCAAAGGCCCTCGGTATTCAAGTCAAAACCCTGTGGACGGCTTACGTGTTCAACCCTCGAATTAGTGCACAACTGGACCGTACCAAAGACCATAAAAAGAAGAGATCACCATACCTGCAAGCATGTCCTTTGCCTGTTTTATGTAAATGGCCGCGATCAGTCTCTTGAACATCACTGGAACAGGCTACTGACATCATGCACAATCAAAGAAAATTGAGTCCCAGGCACAGCGGGCAGCTGTTCAACACGTCGACTTCGACAAGGTGAAAAGCTGAAAAAAGGCCATCTGTTCCACTTTACTTAGACGAATTACTAATTCAAAAGTGTGAATTCAGTGGTCGAGTCAAAGGATCAAACGTTCGGCTAGCCAGCCGTTCCCCGAAGGGCTCATACCATCATGATGAAGTCAGTATGAGTAACACACTTGCAAAGAACTGTCATTGCGAATTGGGTTGTGGAATGCATCGTACGTGCAAAAACAATTCAGTAACACCTGACAGGAATGTGTTGGTGAAAGGACCTGAGAAGTATCGAGAAGTTACCATTGTCGTGGCCAGATCTAGATGCAATAAGGTGGAAGCTGACCCTTTCCTTTTTAAAGCCAAATCGTTCCCATCTTGACAAAAAGCGACAACAGTGCAAACCAGAAAATGAAAACAAGTTTTGAAACGGCATGGTGGTTCTCGGGTTAGCCACATCCCATCATGACGAATAAACTGGAAAATGGAAGCAGGTACGTGGAGTTGATCAGACTCCATATCCTAGTCAACTGCATGGAGCTTCGTTGGCGACAGCCATGCAGCGACCCTGTCGCCCCCTGCAATACTAAATGAAATGACATGAATCCCCCTGCAATACTAAAATGAAATGACATGAATCAACGTGAAAGCGAAGGAAAGAACAAGGTTGGAGTCAACAAACCAGGTAGAAGTTTTACATCTTTTCAGACACACACACACACACGCACAGATGCCTCTACACAGAGCAGCTTTGACACACAGACGCTTTTACACAGAGAAGCCGTTACACAGAGCAACTTCTACACAGTGCGGCTTTTGCACACAGACGCCTTTACACAAAGAAGCTTTTCTACACAAACACTTTTACACATAGAGGCCTTTACACACAGAAGCTTTTACGCACAGAGGTTTTCACACGGAAGCTTTACACAGAGAAGCTTTTACACAGAGAAGCGTCTAAACAGAACATCTTTTATACACAGAAGCATTTACACGCACAAAAGCTTTACATACACACAGAGCTTTTACACACAGACGCTTTTACGCATAGAAGCTTGTTCACAGAGCTTACAGACCGAAGGTTTGACGCAGAGAGGCCTTTACACAGAGCAGCTTTTACACACAGACGCTTTTACACAGAGAAGCACAGAGCAGCTTTTGCACACAGACGCCTTTACACAAAGAAGCTTTTATACACAAACGCTTTTACACATAGAGGCCTTTACGCACAGAAACTTTTACGCACAGAAGTTTTTACACACAAGCTTTACACAGACAAGCTTTTGCACAGAGAAGCCTCTACACAGAGCATCTTTTATACACAGAAGCACTTGCACACACACACGCACAAGCTTTTCACACACGCCTTTACACACAGAGCTTTTACACACAGATGCTTTTACGCATAGAAGCTTGTTCACAGAGCAGGGTTTACACAGAGCAGCTTTTACACACCAAAGCTTTTACACAGAGAGAGGCCTTTGCACAGAGCAGCTTTTACAATCTTTTACACACAGAAACTTTAAACACGCAAATGCCCAAGATTTTACACAGACAGGGCTTTACACACAGAGGCATTTACACAAAAGTTCTTCACACAGATGCAGCAGATGCTTCTACACACAGAAGCTTTTGAACACAGATGCCTTTACACACAGAAGCATTTACCCAGAGATGCTTTGACATATACACACCTATACACACAGAAGCTTTTAGACACAGATTGTTTTCAGAGAATCACGGAAGCTTTGACACAGAGAAGCCTTTACACAGAGAATCTTTTACACACAGAAGCTTTTACACACACAAGCTTTTCCACAGAAGCTTTTACACAGAGAAGCTTTTACGCACAGGAGATTTTACACACAGACGCCTTTACACACAGAAGCTTGTACACACGGAGGCTTTTACGCACAGAAGCTTTTACACAGAGAAGCCTTTACACACAGACGCTTTCCCACAGAAAAACCGATTCCACAGAGCAGCTTTTACACACTTCAACAAATCGCAATTTTTCGTAAGTTTTTGACGTTCGGCCATCATATCGTGCGAAAGGGTTGCATCCGGCGTTGGAAAATCGCAATTTTTGACGTTGGACAATCATTTTGCGTGAAAGGGTTGTGCCTGACCTTGTAAAATCGCAATTTTACACAAGTTTTATTTCGCGCGAAGCGGTTGTGCCTGACGTTTCAAAATGGATAAAGTCGCAATTTTACACCAATTCTTGAACGTTTGCATCTAACGTTTAAAAATCGCAGTTTTCCCACAGTTATTGCCGTTTGACTTTCATGCCACGCTTGCATCTGAACTTTCAAAATCACAATTTTGCACCAGTGTTTGACGGTTGACCCTCATTTCGTGCGAAGGGGCTGCGCCGGGCCTCACCAAATTTGCATTTTGCCACATGTTTTGGATGTCCGACCTGCGCGATCTCTGCAGAGGGTTGCCCGTGCCCAAAAGAAATTCACATTCCACCGCATGTTTGGGCGTTCGAAACGCACGATCTCCGCAGACAGTTGCTGCGGGCAAAGAAGTTTCGCATTTCACCACACCACATGTTTGCCCATCCGACACGCGCGATCTTCGCAGAGGGTTGCCCAAGGACAAACAAGACCCGCATTTCGCCACACGTTTGGGTGTCCGACACGCCGCAGAGGGTAACGTTTCGTAAGCCACCGCCTGGCTGTCCCTGCCGCCAGAGAGAAATAGAATGAAATAGAAGAACTGGAGAAGCCTGATTTTGCAGGAGTTCAGATACAATTTGATCACCTGGAAGTTAGCTGAACTCCTGTGTAGCAACTCATGTGTAACAATTTCTGTGCAAATTACCTTGCAGGCGGGAGTCTTGTAGGAGTTCAAGTAGAAGTGGATCACCTGCAAGTCAACTTCTCTGTAAATGACATTTTCAAGTTTTGTAGGGGTTCCCTAGAAGTTGATCACCTGTAGCTGATGTAGGTGATGTTGTCTATGTTGTAGATGATGAAGATGATGTTGTAAGTGATGTAAGGTTATATAGATAGATTTGAAGATGTAGGTGATGTAGAGGATGCAGTGATATAGATGATGATGTAGGTCATGTATGCGTTGTAGATGATGTATGTCATGTAGATGAGGTTGATGGAAAAATATTGTGTAGGTGATGTAGATGGTGTAGGTGAGATAATAGATGATGATGATGATGATGATGATGATGATGGTGGTGGTGGTGGTGATGATGATAATGATGATGATGTAGGGAAGACGGTGCAGAAGATGTATGTGATGTGGGTGATGTAGAGGATGTAGTGATGTAGATGATGATGTAGGTAATGTATGTGTTGTAGATCAAGCATGTCACATAGATGAGGTTGATGGAAAAATGTGTAGGTGGTGTAGATAATGTAGGTGAGACAGATGTAGGTGATGATGATGATGACGATGATGATGGTGATGATGATGATGACGATGATGATGGTGATGATGATGATGATGATGGTGTAGATGTAGATGTAGATCTAGAGAAGACGGTGTAGAAGATGGTATAGCAGATGTAGGTGATGTAAAGGGCATAAGAGATGTGGATGATGTATGTTAGGTAGATGAAGTGAAAAGTGAGGCGGACAGCAGTTCTTTGGAAAAAACCCTTCGCACGAGCTTCGGGAATATTGGCCACAGTATTGCAAACGCTTGTGGAAAAACGGTTTTTCATAAAGTGTTTGTGCTGTGATTGCGCCTTGCACGCCCGACCTCTAGAGTAAGAAGGGCGGGCAATAAACATACTTCACTCATTGCGTGTTTGGCAACTGTTTTTGTTTCTGGCTGTTGGGGATACTTTTTGGGCTTAATTATTTTTTTTGATTTTGGTTTTGTTTAGCCATTGCAGAAAAACCAAGCAGAAATTGTCAATGGTTGCAAAGCAGTGAGAGAATCATCGCAGATGTAGTGGTTGCAAAGATGTGCAGTGTCAGTGGTTGCAGAATGCAGTGAAAAACCGCACTCCCAGGGTGTCCCCTTCTGAAAACTAATAGGTATTTGCTGTAGGTGGGATTGGGGTTTTGTGAATTTTCTCAAACGCCATAGTGAGATATTTGGCAAGTGACAATACATGAGGTGACAAAGCGACAGAATACAGTGGCGTCCACTGGCATTTTTCGGGTGTCCCATCACGCCAGAGATATAACACGAACTGCCCACACGCAATGTCGACCTTTGACAACACATTCTCTGCATGACGATGGTAAGACATCGATGTGAAACACAATAAGACATCATAAGACATCTTGAGAGAGAAGAACTCTTGCACATTTGCTACCTGTATGGGCCTACTGCATGGGTGTAAAAGAGGGCTTGAGAATGCTTGAGGTAGGTTGAGATAAGTTTTGTTAGGCGTAAGAAAACGGTTTTCCCATTTTCGGATTTTCTGTTGTGGAAGGTTCCATCAGTTCGTAGTCTTGGTGATCTTAATAAACACCAGCAACGATAGTGGCTGCCATTGAGCCAGCTCGCTATACAATGTTGAAAAAGATGAAACTCACGGACTTCACTCCACAGATTGCAGTTTCTCCCAGTGCAGTGGGGGTGGGCGGTGGAGAGCCACGGGTGGAGCCCTCCAGCCGTTGACGTCTCCGAGCCTTTCGGCGCCTGAGGTTGGTTACCGCTGCACTCGGTGGCTTTCAATGGCCACACCGCCGTGGTGGAGCAGCTCCTCGCGGCGGGCGCCGCCGTGGATGCTGTGGACAGCAAAGGCCAGGAGCCCCAGAAAGGGCAGGTGGGGACGATAGGGGGTGGAGGGATGATGTGATGCAGAGTGAGTGAAAGAACAAACTCAATTTAAAGTTATTTGATGACTTTCAATGCGCCATGTGCACAGAGCTGTGGCAGGATAAAACTAATAGGTATTTGCTGTAGGTGGGATTGGGATTTTGTGAATTTTCTCAAACGCCATAGTGAGATTTATTTGGCAAGTGACAATACATGAGGAGACAAAGCGACAGAACACAGTGGCATCCACTGGCATTTTTCGGGTGCCCCATCACTGCAGGGATATAACAGGAATTGCCCACGCGCCATGTCCACCTTTGACAACACATTCTCTGCATGACGATGGTAAGACATCGATGTGAAACACCATAAGACATCAGAAGACATCTTGAGAGAGAAGAACTCTTGCACATTTGCTACCTGTATGGGCCTACTGCATGGGTGTAAAAGATGGCTTGAGAATGCTTGAGGTAGGTTGAGATAAGTTTTGTTAGGCGTAAGAAAACGGTTTTCCCATTTTCGGATTTTCTGTTGTGGAAGGTTCCATCAGTTCGTAGTCTTGGTGATCTTAATAAACACCAGCAACGATAGTGGCTGCCATTGAGCCAGCTCGCTATACAACTTTGAAAAAGATGAAACTCACGGGCTTCACTCCACAGATTGCAGTTTCTCCCACTGCAGTGGGGGTGGGCGGTGGAGAGCCACGGGGTGGAGCCCTCCAGCCGTTGACGTCTCCGAGCCCTTCGCCGCTTGAGGCAAAACACCGCTGCACAGGGCGACTGACCGTGGCCACTCCGCCGTGGTGGAGCAGCTCCTCGCGGCGGGCGCCGCCGTGGATGCTGTGGACAGCAAAGGCCAGGAGCCCCAGAAAGGGCAGGTGGGGACGATAGGGGGTGGAGGGATGATGTGATGCAGAGTGAGTGAAAGAACAAACTCGGTTTAAAGTTGTTTGATGACTTTCAATGCGCCATGTGCGCACAGCTGTGGCAGGATAAAACTAATAGGTTGTAATTCCTGCAGATGGAATTGGGAATTTGTGAATCTTCTAAAGTACACTGCACCAGCGAAGCCAGAGACATGAACGTTTTCCGAGTTTGTTTTAGGCTGCGGGGATTGCGTTTTTTGGCGCTGTCATGGTGGGATGTTTGGCAAGTGTCAACATGGGGTGACAAACCGACACAAGCCGCAGAAGACAGTGGCATCCACTGGCACAGTAAGAACTTATTAACAGCGATCAGGACACCAACGATAAGGTTATATTAATATCTGGTGGGTGATACGTAGGACATCTGCTAGGAGGTCTTCCAGACATCAATATAAAGCATCCGAAAAACAACTTGAAAAGCAATGACACTAAATGATGCTTTCCGGATTTTGGGGGTCCAAACTCAGCCCCACATCCGTCTACTCCGGGCCTTGGCACTTCCATCTGCGTAGAGCAAGGCAAGACGCCGTACGACATCGCCAAGGATAATGACCACCGGAAGGTGATGGGTGTGCTGGACCCGGTCCCTTGGCGCTGGGATGAACACCCCGTGGTGGACCAGGGGCTTCGGCACACGTGGGCTATAGAAACCTATGAAGAAATGGGGGGTTGTTCTTATTGGGTCGTTGCAACCCTGATGTTGTGAAGGTGTCATGCGCTTGAATTGACTCCGATGCGTTGCCATTCTTTTTGTGAGGTATTTGTGGCCCTTATCAGTGGCCGGAGCTGCAGATGTGCCTAGGCTGCTCCGCAATCAGCGGAAGCCTTGCGAAACACAAACAGCTTTGATGCAGATAGTACAGCAGATTACAGCAGGCCTAACATAATAATTGTATATAATTGTAATAACATGCAATGATGCATAATGTGAAGTGATATCAGTATATAGATTTGATTTACAGTAAGTGGCTCTACACTTGGTATACTTGACATGAATTGCGAGGAGATGGGTTTGTTTTGAGCTGGCGAGAAAGACTGTGATCCGCAGCCATGTTGTAGAATTTCGTCCCAAACCTATCGCGGTATAAGATAAAGATTATGTAGCCATGCTGTCTATAACTTGGTTTTGGACACCCGTACCAGTGGAAAACACCGAGGCAACTCTGCGCATGAAACTGTACAAGACTTGAAGGAAGAAGCGGAGCGGCTTGGCATCCTTACAGTTTAAGCTTCTTTGGGCCAGTTTTGGCGTGCTCAGGTTTTCCTTGTTGACAGCCTTCCTGTAGTCAACACGTGTGAAAACTTGTGAAATGTGTGGAAAGATCTGGGTTCCTTGTGGATGAATTGTTTTCTTTTCCTACTTTCCTTCCGTAAGAGCCTTGTCATTGCATTTGTTTTACAACTATGAAGTAGAAGCAGAAATGTGGTGGGTTCTGAGTGAAGTGATTGATCGATATTAATACTTAAGGGCCAATCACAGCAACCTCTTTTGTGGACTGTGCTTGCTGCTTGAAGACTTCCTTCATGAATGTTGCCTGAGAATTCTCCCACCAATTCTGGCAAGAGATGTGAAGAAAGACATCGCGGCAACACCATGCAAGAATAGTTCTTCGACCATGAGTTGTAGCAAGGATGTTCAAAATGGATGCAACCAGCACTTGTTGGCCCTGGCAAATAGAGGCAGAGCATCCCCCAGCCACTCATGTAAGACGCTTTTTGTTTCAATTGTTTCATTAACTTCCCTGTTAGATGGATTCGCTCCCCTGTTACATATTCCTGATGACATCTTAATAAAATTTCCAATTTTCCTTTGCACCTAGCGATGCTTTCAACAGAAGCCGTGCTACATAGCTACACGTGCCACATCTGTCGATTGCGGATCCGAGGCGCAAGTTGGAAACGACCATTGAGCATCTCAGTGGCCTCGACATGCAGCCGCTGCTGCTTGGCACAGTTGATGCGGTATGGACGCTGCTGGGTATTCTCCAACTGATTTAGAGCTCATGGGTTGGTTCACTGCTAGAACTCATTATTTCTTGGGGTGCCCTTTAGTGTTGCAGAATGCAGCCTGGAAAAAGGGCATGGTGTTTTGGTGAACATAGACTATCTAGACTTTGGCATTGTGGTGAAACTGCATGCTGCAACTGGGATAGCAGTTCCTGCTGGCCCCCTGACACACCAACATCTTGAAGAAGTGTAAGTACTGACCCAATAGCCGACTCAGCCACGAATACAAAGATGATAAACAACATATCGAACTATCAGAAGTCTCTTGAGAATGTAGCCACCTCTATAGCCTTCTGGAGACACCGTAAGTATTCCCCTTGAACCTCAATCACAAATCGATCAACTTGATTTCTCTTGGAGCCCATGAAGCGAGTGCATCAACTGCATCAGCCTTGATTTGACAAGTCGCTGTGGTCTCCCCAAAATGGTGGGCTGGAGCTTGGTCCAGGAATGGAGCGATGACTCTGCAAGAAGCCAACATTCTGCCTGGAAATACCCTGACGGCCGTCCTAGTGACTCTGATAGAAAAAGCAGTGGACACAAGACTTCGGACAAATCGAAGTACGCATTTGTATTATTAATTTTGAAAGCCAAACATATTCATACTCATTCAATCTCACTCAGCAACACAGAAAGACCATATCATCGCTTTGTCATAGATGTGTCCTGTTTTCCGCGCTTAGTATCGTTCATTGGAGCAACATTGGTTTTGCTACTAAAGTGTTTGGCAGAAAATTGCATATGTGTGCTGAGACATTCGTTTAGACACGCGGCATCATGTAGAAAGTGACTTTTTACGACAGGATTTCTCATGCTAGGCGGCTAGGCAGTCCGTTGATTTCGTGGTCGCCAGGACCCTGTGGTGCTGAAGGACTTCGGCCATGGGATTTCGATGAAGACGGCGCAATCCGTTTTCGATGAGTACGGGCCCAGGATAGACATGCTTGCAGACTGGAAGGATCTGAAGGATCCATCCTCCTTGGAGGAAGTGTCTTGTCGGCAAACCAGCCGATGCTCGGGCGGTGGAGGACGTAGGCATATCACTTTGGATGTCATGAATTTGGATTCATGTATATGATACCAATTGATACCAGCTGTTTATGTGGTGTAACGTTAGCATGTAATTCTGTTCACAGGGTCTCTGCGTCGTCGGGGGTCTGCGAAGCTGGCCTGAATCGTGGAAATCGTCAACGGATGTTTTGTCTTTGGCAATTGGGAATTTCAGCAATTCCTGTGCTGAAATCAGATTCCGGCTCGTTGATCGGATGGATAGATGCAGTATTGGATCAATATATAGGTAGTTGATGATTCGGATTGCACCAAGAAATTCCTTGCCCCTGCTGTGTACTCAGCTATCCGTACTTTCACTGATTATGTCATGTTTTCGAGGCAAAACATATCTCTTGGGATGGTTGACAAGATGTTGAAAACGTTCATTTTCAGGAAATGACCGAAGGGTTGTTGTCAGCTGGAGACCTGGATCATACCCTCACACTGAGTCCGCGTTGCCTGCACGCACCTTTTGTCATCTGATCGTTCCGATTGTGCAGGCGACCGGTTTGTGATTTGTGCGCAATTTAATGACTTGTAACTTTTGCAAGTTCAGGTCCTACCTGCCGGGCATGTGGCACTGAGCCAACTGGTGCGTCTCAGTCCGGAAGAGATCATTTTCCCAAAGCCGGTGCAGGTTCCCGGGGCAAGGACAGGTGTTCAAAGGGCGTTGCTGAGGCCAACAGAATCCATGCCCATGGATTGGGACCGGTAGAGGTTAGAGGTCTGAGCGCCTTGAAACGTTTGATTTTCGAACGGTGTGGGACTGCCTTGACATGGAGCCTGGCTTCAGCGGGGGTTCTTTCCTTTGGCTGTGGGGACTTCCCTGAAAGTCCACAAGCATTTCAAAGAGATTCTCAGAGGAAAATATATCAAAATCAGCCCTGGTGACCTCACCTCATTGGCCGTTTTGTGAATCAGTTTGGCCGGAAAAAAAGCAAAAAGCAAATGGGCCAACAGCACCGAAAGGCTTTGGCAAATGGTACAAATATGATGTTTTGTGTTTGTGTGTGGCAATCCAACCTGCAGATCAAGAACCCCTGTCAGGTAGAGATGCCAGTCTGCGTGGGTGCAAAAGCAGTATGGAGATCATCCGCGACAGGATGGACACCAGTGGAGGGTGCCAAGTTCTGCGATGGTCGAGTGGTTGTGGCACTGGACCATTTTTGCGATGTTGTTGTGACAGGATACTGTCAGCTGAAAGCTATTGGATTTATCGATCCACGCGATACCACTGCCAAAGTGGTACTTCTACACGTGGCTTGCAGGTCATGTCAAAACAATTTGGATCAGCTATGCTTAGATGCCGAAATGTTGGAATTATTCAAAAAGTGTGGCCCCAGTGCACCTTTGGGAACGTATGGCCACCAAGAACGCCTGCAAGCCCGTCAAGCAGGGCAAGAAGTGCTGAACATGCCAGTCATGTTCCACAGAATGCCACAAGTGTCTGGAAAACTGACCGCTCAATCGGCGCGTCATTTCAGCGTGGAAATCGATGGCACTGAGCATCGATTTGAAGAACTTCTGTCAGAGGCAGTGACTGCAAGTCCAACATCTCAGCTCCGTTCGACTCCAGCCTCGGAGGTGCGGTGCCTGGGGTGTGGTAGATGCATGATGTGCAAGTACAAACGTCGAAACTCTGCACATATTTTCATCTGTAGACAGTAGACATCCAACAGTATGTCCAAGCTTGAAAAACTACAAATCCATCTCAATCATCCCAGTTTTCCTTGCGAAATACCCCTTGAGTAAGACTTCTTCAAAACAAGTGTTCCCTGCTCCGTGGGCGATGCAGGCCAGGCCATCCGCAGCTGCATGGCTAGGAGGCGAACATGGAAATCCTGCGGCAGTTGCTGTGACGTCAGACGTGCCGGCAGCGACTCAGTAGAGATTTAGAGGATCCTCTTGGCATGTCCTGGCAATTGAAAATCATATGATTAGTTAAAGAATTCAAACCATGGCATTTTGAAAGTGCAATTTTGATTTCAACATGAATCTTTGGGATAGAAGCAGAATTTCTTATCCTCCGTAAATTTCAGGGGCGAGTTCGATGGCCTGATCCCCGGGACAAGCTCCACCAATTCATGCCTCTGAGGCGCCGCGGCCAGAGCGATGCCATTTGCTGCTGAGTGGCCGGTTCAACAGTGAAAGGTTTCTGATCTGAGATTGGCATAGATTGATTGGCGACATTTTTGGATTTAGCTGGACATGTTGTTGAAATTTGATCCTTAATTTTTCAATTGACAACTGGTTGCATCCTCCCTGTCATTTGGACTTTTCTGGCCACCGAGGACGATGAATTACATGAGAAGGGTGAAAAGGCGACTGGAAGAGAGAAGAGTTCCAGTGTGTATGGTCCAAGCTCAGGTCGGCCAAAGTTTTGCCGAGCTGACGCGGATAGGATTGGCCCATGCCAAAGGCATGGTGGCCTTCTGCACGTCGGACTACGGCGCCTATACAGGTGCTGGTTACGAAACCTTCCATGAATTGGAATATGTACACGACAACAAGTTGCATATCTTTCCCATTAGGCTCTGCGAAGAATGGCCACCCGCGCCGCAAAACAATCCAAGAGGCACTTTTCAAAATGAATTTGTGTTCAAGAACGGCCTAGTGTATGTAGATGATCGGCAGATGAATAATGCTGAAGGCGCTGCCGATCAGATTGCGGATTCTGTTACCAGCAGTGGCATCTTTGCCAATTAGGCAAAGTCAAAAAAAATCGATGAATGTGGCGGAAATCAAAGCCTACTGCTGCCGGATTCCACCCTCCGATGGTGCGATCCTTTGTGATTCCTGATTAAATTAGGTCAAGTAACAGGCCGATCATCCTTAACGATCAGAAGAGTTTACCCGAAGTGAGACATTCAAAACATCTAGAACATGGGCCTAAAGTCCCTGTCTCAAGGTAGACGAACCTGAACAAAACCTTGCAATTGAGCATGCGCCGAGTTGCAAAACCTTTGGACGTTTAACACAGTGGCATCCACTGGCACAGCGTATAGCGAAACCACGGTAAGAACGTATTAAGAATGATATTATGTTGGCAACAGCGATTAGGATACCAACGATAAGGTTATATATAGCAGGTGATATGTAGGAAATGTGCTAGTAGGTCTTCCAGATATCAATGTAAAGCATCCGTAAAACAAGTTAAAAAGCAATGACACTAAATGAAACTATCTGGATTTTGGGGGTCCAAACTCAGCCCCACATCCGTCTACTCCGGGCCTTGGCACTTCCATCTGCGTAGAGCAACGCAAGACGCCGTACGACATCGCTCAGGATAATGACCACCGGAAGGTGATGGGTGTGCTGGACCCGGTCCCTTGGCGCTGGGTTGAGCATCTCTTGGTGCACCAAAGCTTCGGCACATGTAGGATATAGGAACTTACCAAGAAATGGGTTGTTCTTATTGGGTCGTTGCAATCCTGATGTTGTGAAGCTGTCATGCGCTCGAATTGACTCCGATGCGTTGCCATTCTTTTGGTCAGGTATTTGTGGCCCTTCTCAGTGGCCGGAGCTGCAGATGTGCCTCGGCTGGTCGGAAAGCAGCGGAAGCCTTGCGAAACACAAACAACTTTGATGCAGATACTACAGCAGATTACAGCAGGTCCTAACATAATAATTGTATAAGAAAATGCCATGATGCATAATGTGAAATGATATCAGTAGATTTGATTTAAGTGGCTCTACACTTCGTATACTTGACATGAATTGCGAGGAGATGGGTTTGTTTTGAGCTGGCGAGAAAGACTGTGATCCGCAGCCATGTTGTAGAATTTCGTCCCAAACCTATCGCGGTATAAGATAAACATTATGTCCATGCTGTCTATAACTTGGTTTTGGAAACCTCTACCAGTGGAAAACACCGAGGCAACTCTGCGCATGAAACTGTACAAGACTTGAAGGAAGAAGCGGAGCGGCTTGGCATCCTTACAGTGTAAGCTTCTTTGGGCCAGTTTTGGCGTGCTCAGGTTTTCCTTGTTGACAGCCTTCCTGTAGTCAACGCGTGTGAAAACTTGTGAAATGTGTGGAAAGATCTGGGTTCCTTGTGGATGAATTGTTTTCTTTTCCTACTTTCCTTCCGTAAGAGCCTTGTCATTGCATTTGTTTTACAACTATGAAGTAGAAGCAGAAATGTGGTGGGTTCTGAGTGAAGTGATTGATCGATATTAATACTTAAGGGCCAATCACAGCAACCTCTTTTGTGCACTGTGCTTGCTGCTTGAAGACTTCCTTCATGAATGTTGCCTGAGAATTCTCCTACCAATTCTGGCAAGAAATGTGAAGAAAGACATCGCGGCAACACCATGCAAGAATAGTTCTGCGACCATGAGTTGTAGCAAGGATGTTCAAAATGGATGCAACCAGCACTTGTTGGCCCTGGCAAATAGAGGCAGAGCATCCCCCAGCCACTCATGTAAGACGCTTTTTGTTTCAATCGTTTCATTAACTTCCCTGTTAGATGGATTCGCTCCCCTGCTACATATTCCTGATGACATCTTAATAAATTTTCCAATTTTCCTTTGCACCTAGCGATGCTTTCAACAGAAGCCGTGCTACATTGCTACACGTGCCACATCTGTCGATTGCGGATCCGAGGCGCAAGTTGGGAACGACCGTCGAGCATCTCATTGGCCCCGACATGCAGCCGCTGCTGCTTGGCACAGTTGATGCAGTATGGAGGCTGCTGCTGGGTATTCCCCAACTGATTTAGAGCTCGTGAGTTGGTTCACTGCTAGAACTCATTATTTCTTGGGGTGCCCTGTAGTGTTGCAGAATGCAGCCTGGAAAAAGGGCATGGTGTTTAGGTGAACATAGACTATCTAGACTTTGGCATTGTGGTGAAACTGTGACTTGTGGACGTGATTTGATACGAAAAGTCCTCTCTGCATGCTGCAACTGGGATAGCAGTTCCTGCTGCCCCCCTGACACACCAACATCTTGAAGAAGTGTAAGTACTGACCCAATAGCCGACTCAGCCACGAATACAAAGATGATAAACAACATATCGAATTATTAGAAGTCTCCTGAGAATGTAGCCACCTCTATAGCCTTCTGGAGACACCGTAAGTATTCCCCTTGAACCTCAATCACAAATCGATCAACTTGATTTCTCTTGGAGCCCATGAAGCGAGTGCATCAACGGCATCAGCCTTGATTTGACAAGTCACTGTGGTCTCCCCAAAATGGTGGGCTGGAGCTTGGTCCAGGAATGGAGCGATGACTCTGCAAGAAACCAACATTCTGCCTGGAAATACCCTGACGGCCGTCCTAGTGACTCTGATAGAAAAATCATTGGACACAAGACTTCGGACAAATCGAAGTACGCATTTGTATTATCAATTTTGAAAGCCACACATAATTCATACTCATTCAATCTCACTCAGCAACACAGAATCTCAGAAAGACCATATCATCGCTTTGTTATAGATGTGTCCCGTTTTGCGCGTTTGTATCGTTTATTGGAGCAACATTGGTTTTGCCACTAAAGTGTTTGGCAGAAAACTACATATGTGTGCAAAGACATTCGTTTAGACATGCGGCATCGTGCGGCACCATGTGTAGGAAGTGACTTTTTACGACAGGATTTCTCATGCCAGGCGGCTAGGCAGTCCGTTGATTTCGTGGTCGCCAGGACCCTGTGGTGCTGACAGGACTTCGGCCATGGGATTTCGATGAAGACGGCGCAATCCGTTTTCGATGAGTACGGGCCCAGGATGGACGTGGTTGCAGACTGGAGGGATCTGAAGGATCCATCCTCCTTGGAGGAAGTGTCTCGTCCGCAAACCAGCCGATGCTTGGGCGGTGAAGGATAATATGTATTAATACTGAAGGTTTGATATCATTTTGGGTGTCATTGACTTCGAGCCATGATATACAGCACCAACATAACAGCTGTTTTGTGGCGGAAAGCATGTACTCTTGTTCAGAGGGTCTCTGCGTTGTGGGGGTCTGCCAAGCTGGGACACCTGAATCATAAGATTGATTTTGCATGATTTTGCTACGCCCGATCTATATTTAGTACAGGACAGGAAATACAGCGCATTGAATTGCATGACATCCCATTGCACAACGTACATTTATGTACATTTAATGTACTACAGTAGATAAACTTTATCTCATACACATACCCTTCCCAAGACCAAGACAGAAAACATGACCTTCCCGTTCCTGGTGTTCTCGGTATTAGAATGTCGACCAATGACATCTCCGTTGCGGCAGAATTGGACATCGTCGGCATAAATTTGAGATTTCAGCAATTCTTGTGGCAAAATATGCTAGAATGAAACTTGGGCAGAAGTTCCCAAAAAAGATTCCTTGTTGATAGGGTGGATACATGCAATGTAGATCAATAAATATAGTTGATGATCCGGATTGGGCCCATAGATTCCTTGCCCCAGCTGTGTACTTGGATACCCGTACTCTCCTGAGCAAGTTTCCGAGGCAAAACGCCTTTTGTGTGGTTGAACCATTTTCATGAAATGACTGAAGGGTTCATGTCAGCAGGAGACCTGGATCATACCATGGCTGGATGACTCCGAATCTGCATTGCAGTTTGTTTGTTGCACAAACACGTTTTACACCCTGTTATCTTCAATATTGTCACTATGATTGTGCTTCTAGGCGCGTCGGTTTTGATTTGTAGCTCTTGCAACTTCAGGTGCTCCCTCCCGGACACGTGGCACTGAGCCAACTGGTGCGTCTCAGTCCGGAAGATGTCACGTTTCCAAAGCCAGTGGAGGCAGGGGGGCAAAGGCGTTCAAAGGCTACCCTTTTGATCCATTTCGCCTGTGCCCAAAGAAGTTTCGTACCACAAAAATGGAACCGATGGATGCCATGCGCAGGCAACTGAAGTAATTACGTAGTTGACATTCAATCTGGACAGGGAGCTAAACGATTCAAAAGGGGCTCCTTTTCTATGGCCTTGGAAAGACTCCCCCAATGCAGGAAAAAAACAGTTCTTCCAGATCCTTGGGAGAAGAGATACAAAAGGCAAAGGAAAAGGAAAGCACAGCTTGTCCGATCTGGTGTCATGCACGCTACAGCCATACGTAAAGTTATGTTTAATATTTTGTTTTGTGAAACACGTGCAAGATCCATGAATGCGCCAACCTCGAAATATGGGTCTTGACGCGCAATACCAATACCAATGCCATGACGATTCGGGTTCTTTGACAAAATAAAACTTTCGAAACCTCCGTCAGGTTGAGATGCCAACATGTGTAGGTGCGGAATCTGTTTGGAGATCATCAGCCACAGGCAGGGTGGCCAGTTGCGGTTCGGGTTGAACCTAAGAATGGGGTACCTATTGATTCAAGGGTGGTAGTCCATACCTTTTGACAATGTAATTAATTATTGTTGAAACTCGTTACCAGCAGTTGTTTTCAGGTTGGCCTGATCCAAGACTTTCACAGACAAACATGTGAATTGGTAAGGAACCTGAACCGTGGTTCGGTTTCCAATTCTTCATGCCGGTTCGGTTTTGCACGGTGTGGTTTTACGTTTGGTCTCACTCGATTGTTGCTTCTCGGTTCGGTTTCCCGGCAGGCTGGGAACCACTACTGGGTGCGAAATTCAGCGATGGCCGAGTGGTTGTTGCACTGAGCCACTTTTGTGATGTTGTGGCCACGGGGCCATGTGGCCTGAAAGCTGTGGGATTCATCGATCCACACGATGCAAACGCGAAAGTCGCATTGCTACACGTGGCGTGCGAGTCATGTCAGAACAGTTTGGAGCAGCTGTGCTCCGATGCTGACATGTTGGGATCCTTCAAGAAATGCGGCCCCAGCGTACCGCTGGGAACTTACCGCCACGACGAAGACCTGGAGCTGCGTCAAGGGCAAGAAGCGATGAACATGAGAGTCAGGTTCCACCGAATGCCGCAGGTTTCCCGGAAACTTGTGGCTGACTCTGCAAGCCACTTCAGTGTCGAAATTGAAGGGGATGACCATCAGTTCGAAGAACTTCGGTCAGAGGCAGCCACGAGTGCAACAGCTTCAAACCCAACAGCATCGGATCCCCCGTCGGCTCCAGCGACCTCACAGGCGCAGTGGAGTGGGGTTGCGTGGTAAACATCAAACATCGAACCCCCGAAGTCATCTCACTGCCTTTTCCAGGTGCATCCGCAGGTGCATCCACACGTGCTATATATTTTTGGGTATGTTTGAACATTCACGGGGGAACCCCAGGGTAATTGTTAGTTGAAAACATTAGTTTCCCCATGAAACACGGTCATGGTCGACACAAACCATCCTTTTCCAACATGTTCCCCACTCAAAATGGCCATAATTATGGGACAACGGGACAACTCCAAAATTTGATGGTAACACCGAATTTTCACCCTATTGTCTAAGGTTTTCCACGGCTTTCCTAACTTTCCCCAAATTTCCCCATTCAAAAGTTGCCATTGGCTCCACGGGGCCTGGGCAGGCGATGCCCGCAGCCGCGATGACCTCAGACGTGTCGATGGCGACTCGGCACGGTGATCCAACGGTGGCTGCAACGTCGGCGGCCGAAGACTTGGAGATTTTGGGGTTGGAATTGTCGAATTCTTCAAATGGATAATATTTGATAATTTTTTAGAATATTCATAATATTCATCAGAATCTATATTAGTTAGATTTGATAAAAGTTAAAATAGTTGATGGGGTGCGAACAATAAGTTAAGAAAAGTGGAAGATTGAAACAGAAGAGCCGAATGGGAATTTACAGTGGGACCTTGCCTTCTGCCGGGTAAATCAGATGGTCGGCACTGCATATTATTGGTTTTATATGGTTTTATGATGTTTTATGCGCATTTTGGATGAGATCCAGAATCGCAACACACACACACAGAATGCTTGTCCTTCATAAATTTCAGAAATCGGAAACCGACGAGCCGACGAGATCCATGATTGGATCCAGCTCCTGTGACAGACCGCTCAGGCACAGGAGCGGCCAGAGAGAGGTCACCTGTTACTGAGCGGCCGCTTCAACAGTGATACGATTCTTGTCGAAGGTTGGGGAAGAAAAAATGTCACTTGAACATAGTTGAACCATGTTGTTGAAGTTTGATCCTGGATCTGTGAACCGTGTTTCATCTTTTCTTAAGTTTCATTCTGGATGCTGGGCGGACTGTCGGCCACTGAGGGTCATAAACTACATGAAAACGGTGAAGAGGCGCTTGGAAGAGAGACGAATACCTGTATATATGGTGCAAGCTCAGGTCGGCCAAAGTTTTGCCGAGCTGACGCGGATAGGATTGGGCCGTGCCAAAGGCATTGTGGCCTTCTGCACTTCGGAGTACGGCGCCTATACTGGTGCTGGCTACGAAACCTTCCATGAATTGGAATATGCACACGACAACAATTTGTATATATTCCCCATTAGGCTGTGTGAGCAGTGGCCACCTGCGCCACAAAACAATGAAAGAGGCACTTTTCAAAATCGCCTGGTGTTTAAGAATGGCCTTGTGTTTGTAGATGATCGGCAGATGAACAATGCCGAAGGCGCTGCCGACCAGATTGCGGATTCTGTTACCAGCAGTGGCATCTTTGCCAATTAGGCAAAGTCAAAAAAAATCGAAGAATGTGGCGGAAATCAAAGCGTACTGCTGCCGGATTCCACCCTTCGATGGTGCGATCCTTTGTGATTCCGGATTAAATTAGGTCAAGTAACAGGCCGATCATCCTTAACGATCAGAAGAGTTCACCCGAAGTGAGACATTCAAAACATCTAGAACATGGGGCTAAAAGTTCCTGCTACTCTCAAGGTAGAGGAACCTGAAAAAGCCTTGCAACTGAGCATGCGCCAAGTCGCAAAACCTTCGGACGTTTGCTTCAGGCAGTGACAGGACGTAGGTATTTGTTGAGACATGGACATGGCATGGGAGAAATACAGTAATTTGAAGGTGATTCATGTGCACATTATACTAAAGGTTCGAATTCCTGTAGTTCTCGGCTCAGCTTACACTTTTTTCACCCAGAGTTCATTGACCTTCAGGATTGCAGAGACATCACACCATGACTAACCTAGATTTGACCACATATGAATCTTTAGTGAATCTGGTGCAATCCAGACCCGGCTTGTTGCTTACCCTTGGTGAAAAATGGCTCTTATGCCGTTCCAGAGCCTGTCCTGGTTTGAAATCAATGGATTGCCAGACCTCCAGAGTTTCAACAGGTGATCCACTTGGAACTTGGAACCAGAAGTTTTCATGTTTTCACCACATTTCTTGCGGAGTTTCACCATCCTTGCGGAAATTCCCCTAGGGAATTCCACCTTCATGGCAAAGGATGGCCCAGATACCTCGGCAGGGCGTCCCAGATGTGAAACCTCCAACTTCGGAATCCACGCTGTTCTGACCTTGGAAGCTGATATGGTGAAAACATGTGAAAACAACAAACTTCTTGGGATCAAGTCAGGGCTGGTTCTCACCGGTCTCCTTGACGAATCGAGTCCAAAGATTTCCACTTTTAATTTTTCCGTTCTGTTTACGAATGTCCGGGGCATTTGTTTCAACTTCTTGTAGGTTTTGACCGATTGACCTAGGTTTCTCTAATCATCCAAGTTGACACTGCAAAAAGAAGTTGTGGTTACAGAAGGATTGTCTCGCAAGTTCAAGTGGTATATCATGGCATATGATGTTTTTTTAAATTTCTATAGTCTATAATACTGTAGGATCTATTTCCCCTTTCATGGATGTGTTTGCGGATGTCCAGCTTCGTTTCAGCTTCTCACCGGCTTTGTTTTTAGTAGTTGGTTGGTCTAAGTTTTGTTTCCAGGTTGACACTCCATATCGTTGACATCCAAGCCAAGAAGCGGCAAATCTATGCAAATTAATGCAATTCTAGGGTGGTAAGTCTGAAACCGCCAGTGAGGGTCAAGGCTGTTGATGCACCTTAGGGATGTCCCAAAAAACAGGGAGGCATCCCAATCCCCAAACTGTTGCGTTTCCCAACAAAGGCAACAAAATGGTCCATGGTGGATTCTTGTTGGGCCCTCACTTCAGAAGCGCCCAACTTCTGAAATTCCTGTCTAGCGCACCAGGCAGACCATGCTGGCGTCGAAGCAATTTTCCAGCACTTGGATCCCACCGGACTCTCAACTGCAACAGTTTTGGGATTTGCTGCGCGTTTTTGATGCGATATGCTCCTGAGTTCGTGTCATTGGACTCGGTGGGGAACTGGACTCAGGAAGTGGAACGCTCGGGAAGGAGGAGCTGCTGTCCATCCTCTCTGGCCTTGGCGTTTCTGATCAAGAGCTGCCTGGCTCACCTTGTCATGTCGGCATGTCCGCAGATGATCATAACCCCGTCCCTGGATGCACTTGTATCATTTGAAAAATTCAGAACTATCTCTTTACCATTCATCTCACTAAAATCAGGGATCACTAAACCACCAAGACACAGCTGCACTGTGGTGCTTCATTCGCCAAGGTTAGCCTTGCTTCAATCCACAGATGCTTGGTTTGATACACGCTTCATACAGAAATCTTAGGATATCTAGGAATCTAGGACCTAGGACCTAGATTGAGTTTCCACTGAATCAGGTTCAGGTCGTCATTGTTGACTTTCAGGTTCAGCTGTGTGGTGATTTTCTGTCGCACTCAGACATGACTTGTGCGATGTTTTTGCGGAACACATTGAAAGATGGCAAGGAAGTCGAAGGTCAGTGGGCTGCGTTAAGGAGATGTTTCAAGACCAACGAGTTCCCTACTCGCACTTCCTGCGGTGGATTTTCGCACCAGCATCCAACTCTGAAAGTGGTCATCAAGCCGATGTTTCATCGCATCTTGCCAGAATGATTACCGTCCTTCGGCCAGAACTGCCAAGGTTGTCATGATATGGTAAACACATGTAAACATAAAACAGGACAATAGGCTGAACAATTGGCTGTGGTTTCAAGCCACTTTGTTGGCATTTCGATGATCGCTGTGAAGTCCTTGTTCCTTCCCGAGTTTTTCATCGCCCTGATCCATGTGGATCAGCCAGGCAAGATGTTCAGACAGAGCTCAACATCTCAGAGCCGAATGACCTTGGTCTCTTGGCGCGGCTCCGTTGAGGATGTTGAGGTCTTGAGACATCTTTAGACTTAGACCCTTCCAATGCCCCGAAAGTCAGCAGTCAGACCTTGCTGCGAAGTTGATGACTCAGATGGAATTTTCATATCTTTGATAGAGAAAGCAATGAGAACATCCGACGGGAGGGTGGCAGACTTATTCCATCCAACTTCACCCAAAAGGAACTTGATTGAACTTTCTCACCGGGTCCGTCCAATGACAGGGCACCGCGTCATATCTGACAGGGGTGTCGTGTCGAAGATGGCTTTTGACACGGCATGAGCGTCAGCATCTGGAGTAAGGTTGATGTTGATGACGGTGGACAGTCCACAGTTGATACGGGTCGCAGGTTCTTCCAAGTCCAATGGTGGTAGATGAACAACTTGGCTTTTCATGAGGACTCACCACGAAAACACGTCAAATCCTGAGGTTCCAAGGTGGAAGCGGAGGTCTGGCGATCTGGGGGAAGTTGTTTCCATTGGGATCCACAGGGACAAAGTTTCACAGAGTTGAGAAGTATTCACGAGGACGTGTTGGCGCGGTAGGTCGTATTGACTGATTTGACTGGCTTTATCTTGCTTTGTTGGGATCTACATTTTTTGCTATGACATTGTATCACATTGTATCCACCTTGATGATTTCCATAATTCGTCCTGTTGCGGCAAATGTCCCTCACTGGGTGACCTCCAAGCATTTCTCAGATTTCGGGTTTCAATCTTAGAAGAACCCTATGCAGGAAGCATATTTTCCACGCTTTTCTGCAACAGAAAAAACTAGAGCTGAATCTCTAAGATATCTTTTCGCTTAATTTTTTGGTAGTCCAAAATGTCGTGCTTGGCTTTCCAGGCAGATGAAACTGAAATCGAAAATTGCTGAGATCTCAGACTTGAGGATTCCATGATATGTTTCCTCACATGTTCATGCTTGAGGATCCATGCTCAATGACATGTGACATTGGGCTCTGAAAGATGCGTTTATTAAATGCGTTTAACTTTGCTTTTGCACTTTGGGTGCTGCCAGTGCATGACAATCATTTGTTAATATTTGTTAGTAGTCCAATGAACCAAGCTCAGGAACGCAAAAGCCGCAAAATCTAGAATCTATACTATTATGACATTATGATACATTATGACTGATCCACCGGTATAAATTAAGAATAAACCTTGGACTGCCAGACATTCAGAGTTTCGGCTTTGAGGCGGAGACATCCTGCAGGCTGCGAAAGAAGGCAACGTCGGAGCTGTCCGACACTTGCTGCAGGTGGACCCCCAGAGCCTGGAGCAAGTCGACAGACTAGGCGGAAACCTGAGAAGGGATAGGCTTGAAGGTTGAGGAGGTTGTTATAGGTTCGCAGCTGTGACCTTCCAATCCAGTTGAGACTGTTTTTTGGTTGAGACTGATTTGAGACATGTTGCTGATACCAGTATGTCAGTATGTGTTTCAGTCGGAAGCCAAACTCCCAATTTTTCAGACCCTACCTAAATCCTCCGAAATCCTCCGAAGCAACTCATGTGACTTGGCGCGTCCCGTCGCCATCTCCAGCGGCGCCCTCCGGACCGAGGCGTCGGGCCGCTGGCGTATGCGGCTGTGGAAGGCCACCTGGAGGTGGTCCAGGTGCTGCTGGCCGCGGGCGCCTCCGTCGAGGCGAAGAACCACAACGGCCGCGGCCCTCAGAGACAGGACGGATGTGACAGGACGGACGTGGTGGGAAGGCGGTGCAACAGGCGAAATGTGGAAGAGATGCGACACGCCATTGAGTTTGCTGCCAGTTTTAAGGAATTTTCAGTGTACTTTACGTGATTCCATGTTGAGAAGTCAACTACCAGTAGACAGCAGTTGCAAGTTTGTGTTGCGGGTATGTCACACAGTGGTTCGTGTGGTTGAGTCAAGTTTAGGGGACATTTTGCGGGTCTAGTGTTATTAATTATGGAAGCTGGATGCAAATGGATTCTAATGATTTTCTTGCTGAGATTGTAGTGTGTTCTTGTGAATCTTTGATCTGGTTTGCAGTGTTTCGGCACGGCAGAGGTGTGACTTCCCAATCAGTTGATCCTGATTTCGATAGGCAGTGATACATGTCTCAATTAGAAATGGTGGACCAAACATGACCAAATTCCCAGTTTTTCAGACCCGAAATTCTCCGAAGCAACTCATGTCGACTTGGCGCGGCCCGTCGCCATCTCCAGCGGCGCCCTCCGGACCGAGGCAACGGGCCGTTGCACTTTGCGGCTCAGGAAGGCCACCCGGAGGTGGTCGAGGCGCTGCTCGCCGCGGGCGCCTCCGTCGAGGCGAAGGATGACGACGGCCGCGGCCCCCAGAGACGGGACGGATGTGACAGAGATGCGACACGCCATGGAGTTTGCTGCCAGTTTTGGGAACTTCGTTCCAGGAATCTTCAGTGTACTTTACGTGATTGCATGTTGAGAAGTCAAGTACCAGTAGACACCAGTTACAAGTTTGACAATATTATTCAGAGTGGTTCGGGTGGTTGAGTGAAGTTGAGGAGACATTTTGCGGGTCTAGTATTGTTAATTATGGCAGATGGATGCAAATGGAATCTAATGATTTCTTGCTTAGATTGTAGTGTGTTATTGTGAATCTTTGATCTGGTTTGCAGTGTATGGCACGGCAGAGGTGTGACTTCCCAATCAGTTGATCCTGATTTCGATTGGCAGTGATACATGTCTCAGTTGGAAATGGTGGACCAAACATGACCAAACTCCCAGCTTTTCACCCCCGAAATCTTCCGAAGCAACTCATGTCGACTTGGCGCGGCCCGTCGCCATTTCCAGCGGCGCCCTCCGGACCGAGGCGACGAGCCGCTGGCGATGGCGGCTGCCGAAGGCCACCTGGAGGTGGTCGAGGCGCTGCTGGCTGCGGGCGCCTCCGTCGAGGCGAGGGGTAGCGTCGGCCGCGGCCCCCAGAGCCGGACGGACGCGACAGGACGGACGTGGTGGGAAGGCCTTGCCACGGATTTCAGGATGAAATTGGATGGTGTTTGCCACCTTAGCTGGAGATGAACCCAGGTGAGAGCCACAGGGTGGACAATTTGAAGGAAATCAGGCACATGAAGTCATGAAGTTCTCCCTGCTGGGATGCACAGCTTCTGAGAGGTGATCTCCCACATGTGCAACCTTGATCAACCCTTTATGGGTGTAAAAGAGCCTGATACATAAGGTTTTATGATGTTTTATCAGACATACAATCAGTTCGGTTTTGCTTTTCCGGGTTTCAGCTTTGGAAGGTATGATCAGGTCGTAGTCGTAGTCTTGTTGATCTTCACAAACACCAGCAACGATAGTGGCTGCCATTGAGCCAGCTTGCCACACATTTTTGAAAAGGATGAAACTCCATGTTGAGAAGTCAACTACCAGTAGACAGCAGTTGCAAGTTTGTGTTGCGGGTATGTCACACAGTGGTTCAGGTGGTTGAGTCAAGTTTAGGGGACATTTTGGGGGTCTAGGATTATTAATTATGGCAGATAGATGCAAAAGAGGGCTTGAGAATACTTGAGTTATGTTGAGATAAGTTTTGTTAGGCGTAAGAAAACGGTTTTCCATGGTTTTCCCTTTTTGAGATTTTCTGTTGTGAAAGGTTCCATCAGTTCGTAGTCTTGGTGATCTTAATAAACACCAGCAACGATAGTGGCTGCCATTGAACCTAGTGGCTGCCATTGAGCCAGCTCGCTATACAATTTTAAAAAAGATGAAACTCACGGACTTCACTCCACAGATTGCAGTTTCTCCCACTGCAGTGGGGGTGGGCGGTGGAGAGCCACGGGGTGGAGCCAGCCGTTGACGTCTCCGAGCCCTTCGGCGCCTGAGGTTCGACACCGCTGCACTACGCGGCTTTCAACGGCCACGCCGCCGTCGTGGAGCAGCTCCTCGCCGCGGGCGCCGCCGTGGATGCTGCGAACAACGAAGGCCAGGGGCCCCAGAAGCGGCCGGTGGTGGGGACGACAGGGGGTGGAGTGCAGGGATGATCTGATGCAGAGTGAGTGGAAGAACAAACTCGGTGACAAGTTGTTCGATGATTTTTAATGCGTCATGTGCACAGAGCTCTGGCAGGATAGGTGGTAATTAGGTGGGACTGGGATTTTGTGCATCTTCTCATACGCCATGGTGAGGTATTTTGGCAAGTGACTATACATGAGGTGACAAAGCGACAGAACACAGTGGCATCCACTGGTATCTTTGGGGTGCCCCATCACTGCAGAGATATAACACGAATTGCCCACACGCAATGTCGACCTTTGACAAAACATTCTCTGCATGACGATGGTAAGACATCAATGTGAAACACCATGAGACGTCATAAAACATCTCGAGAGAGAAGAACTCTTGCACATTTGCTACCTGTACTGTATGGGCCTACTGTATGGGTGTGAAAGAGCGCTTGAAAGTGCCTGAGATATGTTGAAATAAGTTAGGCGTAAGAAAACGGTTTTCCCTTTTTGAGATTTTCTGTTGTGGACGGTTCCATCAGTTCGCAGTCTTGGTGGTCTTCACAAACACCAGCAACGATAGTGGCTGCCATTGAACCAGCTCGCTATACAATTTTGAAAAAGATGAAACTCACGGACTTCACTCCACAGATTCAAGCCTCTCCAGTGAAGTGTGGGGGTGGGCGGTGGAGAGCCACGGGGTGGAGCCAGCCGTTGACGTCTCCGAGCCCTTCGGCGCCTGAGGTCGGACAGCGCTGCACGACGCGGCGAAACGGGGCCACACCGCCGCTGTGGAGCAGCTCCTCGCCGCGGGCGCCGCCGTGGATGCTGCGAACAACGAAGGCCAGGGGCCCCAGAAGCGGCCGGTGGTGGGGACGACAGGGGGTGGAGTGCAGGGATGATCTGATGCAGAGTGAGTGAAAGAACAAACTCGGTGACATGTTGTTCGATGATTTTGAATGCGCCATGTGCACAGAGCTGTGACAGGATAAAACTAATAGTTGGTAATTCGTGTAGATGGAATTGGGATATTTTGAATCTTCTAAAGCACATGCACTGCACCAGCGAAGCCAGAAACACGAACATATTCTGAGTTTGTTTCAGGCTGTGGGGATTGCGTTTTTTGGCGCTGTCATGGTGGGATGTTTGGCAAGTGTCAACATGGGGTGACAAACCGACACAAGCCGCAGAACACAGTGGCATCCACTGGCACAGCGTATACCGAAACCACGGTAAGAACTTATTAAGAATGATATGATGTTGGCAACAGCGATTAGGATACCAACGATAAGGTTATATAAGTTATATATATAGTGCGTGATATGTAGGAAATGTGCTAGTAGGTCTTCCAGACATCAATGTAAAGCATCCGTAGAACAACTTGGAAAGCAGTGACACTAAATGAATCTAAATGATACTATCTGGATTTTGGGGCAAACTCGGTGACATGTTGTTTGATGACTTTTGAATGCGTCATGTGCACAGAGCTGTGGCAGGATAAAAGTAATAGGTGGTATTTGCTGTGGATGGGATTTGGATTTTGGGAATCTTCTCAAACGCTATGGTGAGATATTTGGCAAGTGATGATACATGAGGTGACAAAGCGACAGAACACAGTGGCATCCACTGGCATCTTTGGGACGCCCCATCACTGCAGGGATATAGCACGAATTGCCCACACGCAATGTCGACCTTTGACAACACATTCTCTGCATGACGATGGTAAAACATGGATGTGAAACACCAAAAGGCATCATAAGACATCTTGAGAGAGAAGAACTCTTGCACATTTGCTACCTGTATGGGCCTAATTGGGCCTACTACTGTATGGATGTGAAAGAGCGCTTGAAAATGCTTGAGATGTGTTGAGATAAGTTTTCTTAGGCGTAAGAAAACGGTTTTCCCTTTTTTCGGATTTTCTGTTGTGGAAGGTTCCATCAGTTCGTAGTCTTGGTGGTCTTCACAAACACCAGCAACGATAGTGGCTGCCATTGAACCAGCTCGCTATACAATTTTGAAAAAGATGAAACTCACGGACTTCACTCCACAGATTCAAGCCTCTCCAGTGAAGTGTGGGGGTGGGCGGTGGAGAGCCACGGGGTGGAGCCAGCCGTTGACGTCTCCGAGCCCTTCGGCGCCTGAGGTCGGACAGCGCTGCACGACGCGGCGAAACGGGGCCACACCGCCGCTGTGGAGCAGCTCCTCGCCGCGGGCGCCGCCGTGGATGCTGCGAACAACGAAGGCCAGGGGCCCCAGAAGCGGCCGGTGGTGGGGACGACAGGGGGTGGAGTGCAGGGATGATCTGATGCAGAGTGAGTGAAAGAACAAACTCGGTGACATGTTGTTCGATGATTTTGAATGCGCCATGTGCACAGAGCTGTGACAGGATAAAACTAATAGTTGGTAATTCGTGTAGATGGAATTGGGATATTTTGAATCTTCTAAAGCACATGCACTGCACCAGCGAAGCCAGAAACACGAACGTATTCTGAGTTTGTTTCAGGCTGTGGGGATTGCGTTTTTTGGCGCTGTCATGGTGGGATGTTTGGCAAGTGTCAACATGGGGTGACAAACCGACACAAGCCGCAGAACACAGTGGCATCCACTGGCACAGCGTATACCGAAACCACGGTAAGAACTTATTAAGAATGATATGATGTTGGCAACAGCGATTAGGATACCAACGATAAGGTTATATATACAGTGCGTGATATGTAGGAAATGTGCTAGTAGGTCTTCCAGACATCAACGTAAAGCATCCGTAGAACAACTTGGAAAGCAGTGACACTAAATGAATCTAAATGATACTATCTGGATTTTGGGGCAAACTCGGTGACATGTTGTTTGATGACTTTTGAATGCGTCATGTGCACAGAGCTGTGGCAGGATAAAAGTAATAGGCTTATTAGTGATAGGTGGTATTTGCTGTAGATGGGATTTGGATTTTGGGAATCTTCTCAAACGCTATGGTGAGATATTTGGCAAGTGATGATACATGAGGTGACAAAGCGACAGAACACAGTGGCATCCACTGGCATCTTTGGGACGCCCCATCACTGATGGGATATAGCACGAATTGCCCACACGCAATGTCGACCTTTGACAACACATTCTCTGCATGACGATGGTAAAACATGGATGTGAAACACCAAAAGGCATCATAAGACATCTTGAGAGAGAAGAACTCTTGCACATTTGCTACCTGTATGGGCCTAATTGGGCCTACTACTGTATGGATGTGAAAGAGCGCTTGAAAATGCTTGAGATGTGTTGAGATAAGTTTTCTTAGGCGTAAGAAAACGGTTTTCCCTTTTTTCGGATTTTCTGTTGTGGAAGGTTCCATCAGTTCGTAGTCTTGGTGGTCTTCACAAACACCAGCAACGATAGTGGCTGCCATTGAACCAGCTCGCTATACAATTTTGAAAAAGATGAAACTCACGGACTTCACTCCACAGATTCAAGCCTCTCCAGTGAAGTGTGGGGGTGGGCGGTGGAGAGCCACGGGGTGGAGCCAGCCGTTGACGTCTCCGAGCCCTTCGGCGCCTGAGGTCGGACAGCGCTGCACTGGGCGGCTATCGACGGCGACGCCGCCGTCGTGGAGCGGCTCCTCGCCGCGGGCGCCGCCGTGGATGCTGCGGACAACGAAGGCCAGGGGCCCCAGAAGCGGCCGGTGGGGACGACAGGGGGTGGAGTGGAGGAATGATGTGATGCAGAGTGAGTGAAAGAACAAACTCGGCGACAAGTTGTTTGATGATTTTGAATGCGCCATGTGCACAGAGCTGTGGCAGGATAAAACTAATAACTAATAGGTGGTAATTCCTGTAGATGGAATTGGGATGAATTGTTTTTTTTTGAATCTTCTAAAGTGCATTCACTGCACCAGGGAAGCCAGAAACATGAACGTATTCTGAGTTTGTTTCAGGCTGTGGGGATTGCTTTTTTTGGGGCGCTTTCATGTTCAGATGTTTGGCAGGTGTCAACATGGGATGACAAACCGACACAAGCCACAGAAGACGGTGGCATCCACTGGCACAGCGTATACCGAAACCACGGTAAGAACTTATTAAGAATGATATGATGTTGGCAACAGCGGTCAGGATAACTAACGATAAGGTCATGTATAGCGGGTGATATGTAGGAAATATGCTAGGATGTCTTCCAGACATCAACGTAAAGAATCCGTAAAACAACTTGAAAAGCAATGACACAAAATGAATCTAAATGATACATAATGATATACTATATACTATCTATCTGGATTTGGGGGCCCAAACTCAGCCCCACATCTGTCTACACCGGGCCGTTGCACTTCCAGCTGCGTAGAGCAAGGCGACACGCCGTACGACAGAGCCAAGCACTTCGGCCGCCGGAAGGTGATGGGTGTCCTGGACCCGGTCCCTTGGCGCTGGGATGAACATCCCTTGGTGGACCAGGGCTTCGGCACACGTGGGCTATAGGAACCTATGAAGAAATGACGGTGGTTCTTATTGGGTCGTTGCAATCCTGATGTTGTTAAGGTGTCATGCGCTCGAATTGACTCCGATGCGTTGCCATTCTTTTAGTGAGGTATTTGTGGCCCTTCTCAGTGGCCGGAGCTGCAAATGTGCCTCGGCTGCTCCGAAATTTGCAGTGGGTAAATGGTGGACAGGTACTTTAGTGCCGTAATTCGTCACAATCTTTTGCCAGTCATGTAGGGTGTTTCAGGGTTATCTGGATTGGCAATGTGTAGAATTTGAAGAGAACCAAGCAATTGAAGTGCTCAAAAGATGCATGGGGTGAGTGACTTTTTCACTTGATACGACCTGCAGACATAAAAGGCTGTACGGTTTGTTGGGTGCCACACATCAACGTTTCTGATATTTTCCGTCAAACCTGAGCTGTTGGTGAGTGGCTGTTATGTGCAACCTGGGAATGCAAGCAACTATGACACTCAGGTAGTTCTTATCACGAGACGGTGCAGGAATTGAAGGAAGAAGCAGAGAAGCTTGGCTTTCTCCGAGGCCATATCAAACCATCTTGGTCGAAATGCTTGTGTTCTGTTGGTCTGACAACGTTTGCAGTTCTTGCATTCTGATCTACAGTAATGCGTTTGTGAGATGGACATATGCTAATGAATATTCCATGAGCCGACTGATGGCGATTTTTTTTTTTATATCTTGGACTCGCATGGCCATACTTTGACTGTGCTGAGTCTTTTTCATTTCCATCTCCCTGAGTCTGTAGGAGTTGTTTCATGCAGTTGGTATTATTGAAGAAGATACAATATGGTAGGCTCTGAACGAAGAAATTTACATCCCTCCTCCAATGTACTTGACAGGGCAAATTAGGCAGCCTCTTCTGTCCACTGCCTTTGTTGCAATAAGACTTCCTGGATTCCTCAATGGACCATGTTGGCCGAGAATGCACGGACAACAATGGTATGACGACACACATAGCAACAGCATGCAAACCCATGGCAAAATATATGCGACGGCGACAACATGTTTTTGCGTTTCGCAGCAAGTCCAAAGATGTTTGTGCCGTAATTCATATGATTGTGCAAATTGAACATATCATCCCGGTATTCAGAGGCATGGCGTTGCCTACCCACGGCTACACAAGACCCGTGATGCTTTAATAAGCTACTGTAAGTTCCCTGCAGTCCGAAATTGGCTTATGAAGGGTGAATGAGCCATTGCAGATCGAGGCTTGCACTTCCCCAACATTATTTATAGGATTGATGAGGTCTATCATATCATTATCTTTCATTGCATCTGGCACTCCTGTTTGTCCCATGGGAAAGATGGGATATGCAGGGGTGATAGTCAGATCTTAGTGAGCTCACGCGCTGTCACCAAGATGTGACCCTGGCATGTGTCAGTTGGCCCTGCCGGACACCCCGTGCTCCTTCGGGCCACGCGTCGCGATTCCGAGGAAGAAACTCGGAATCACCATCCAGCGTCTCATTGGGGTGAACATGGAACCATTGCTGCTTGGCACAGAACTTGATGCTGAATAGAGGGACGACGTTTAGATGTATTTAGATTCTATACGAATCTGGATGCTCACCGGGTCAGTGACAAGACTCTTCAGTGACGATGGGGACCTCCGTGTTTCGAGGTGGTTTGATGTTAGAATCTTTCACCCCATGCAGCTGGGGACGTTCAATGTGATTAGGTGACCAAGGTCGTTGAGAAGGGAAATCTTTGAGCACCAAAGAAATTACGTGCCAGTGGGTTTTGAAGGCCCTGTCGGCATAGTAAATGCTGCAACTGCAACCCGGATTTCCCTGATGACAAAAGACAAATACAGTATATTAATGTATATTATACAATGCGATGGGAAAGCAGTTTGATAGTCCTTCTAACGAGACAGAAAGTGCAGCTGTTGCTGTTTGTTCGAGAGAGTCAGTGACAGAGTGATGTGGAACATTGCAGAACAAACAGCAGAAGCGGCCACAAATGCAAAGGTCTGCCGTTTGGGAACTATTGGGAATGAAAGCGCTTGTCACATCTTATCACATTTTATCACATCTTATCATCCAAAGTGCAAGCTTAGCATGGATATTGCGATTAAGCGCAAGTTTTACGAGGTCAATTCAAATCCTGCTTTTCCGTGACTTTGTAGGTTAATTCTTGGTAGCATTCAGTTTTACATGTGCTTAAGTAAGTTGACCATGTCCCTACCCACGGTTGGTTCAAAGTGATTCACGGGTCGTTCACGGATCAGTCACGGTCTGTTTGTGCTCGGCAGCGAGCGCGGCATTCCAGAGAAAGTGGTCCAGATCTGATAAATTTGACTAATCTTGGATGACTTGGTTTGATCGAAAATCCCAATGTTTTTGAACCGCGAAGACTCCTCTTGGTTAGAGAAGATATCGCACAGTGAAGGATTATCATATGCAAGTAGAACCAGTTGATTAAGATAAGTCGAACAAGTTTGACAAGGTCATTGATCTACAGAGATCCTAAGATCCTAGCAATTTATACCAGGCATCACTGCACTCTTTAGATGCATTGGTCATGCTGGCTTTAAGCGAACTTACTCTGATCCTCACAACGCAGTCGCAATAGACTTGTAATTGTAGGAGTCAACTCTTGAAGCTCTGGAGCGACTGCATCAACCCCAAATTTGTCAAGTTCGCGGTCCCAAACAATTTGGAGCTTGGTCCAGCCATCAGGAACGAAGCAAAGACTTTGAAAGAAGCCGGTGTTTTGCCTGGACATACGTTGACCGCAGTCATCGTTCCCCGGCCTGCAAGAGTGATGTGAGTCACGCATTGCCATGGGAAGATTCTGATTGGAACTCGATTTTACAAGAAAACACTGCCAAACCGGCAACAAACTGTCGATTCAATTCAGCCCAAAGTCATGAGATCAGTTCTTAGCTCCGCACAGTTGTTATCGCATCCCTTATGGTGACCAAGATGTTTGCAAATTAGCTGCAGAGCACCTTTTCTTGATCATGTTTTTCCCTGCTACATTTTGCTTCGAAGCTATGTAGGCGCCAGCAGCGGGGCAGGGTGACGTCTCAGAGGCGGGTCGTATCGATGTGGGACACAACATTCTGCGGGGAGGCTCTGGAATTCCCGTGAAATGACGGCCGGGTGGGCCAGAACTTCAATGGCAGCCACTTTGAAAGTTGCAAGATTTGCCAATGTCCAGTCTTTGGATGCAGCTCCATGTAGCTAGGTGATGGCGGAGTTCTCATGTGCGTATTTCTGTGCGTAAAGGATTGCAAATGGTGTACGGTTGCGTTGCTTGGGTCTGCGTTGCTGGGATCAACTCCAAAGGTTCATGAGATAACATCCGAAGACGGAACCCAGACATTTGAGATGCCCCTTCAACAAGCACAGCATCTCTATACACACCTGATTTTCATGATACGCAGTGATTTCTGTTGAATTTCTGTAGAACATGGCTGGATCCCACAGGAGAAGCAGTTGCCAGAGGATGAAGGCCGCAAAGATGATGGCGCTTGTGATTGATCAGGGTAATCAATGCTATAATTATAAAATGCAATTAGTGGTAGTTAGTTCTTATAGTTGGGTGGATAAGAGTGGATGTCTGCTAAGAGACAAGGTCAGTAGGGTATTCAATGCAGCACTTACAAACACACATCAGTCAAGCTGTCAACCATCAACAGGTATTCCAATTAGTTGGATCCAAAGTCACACATCATCTCCATGGTCTGATTTTTGAGAGTTTGGGACCGGAATTGACTGAGCCACGATGAAATCCAGGGGCTGCTCTAGCAGTCACGGTCCGGCTGTATGATGCTGCGAGGCGATCTGCAAAATCCCAACGACTTCATCGAGTTCCTCATCTCCGCGAATATTCGGCTGGTCCGCGCCGAGTTTTTGATCGAGCTGGATGAGACTGGGACCCCCATGCCTCGCCGACAAGAGGCAGAGTTCATGCACGTGCAGAGTGGGGCAACTGCACTGGTGGAGCTTGGTGAGTACAAAGAGTTGCACGTGAATCAAACATCAGGCTGGCTCAGTCCCTGCAAACATCCAGAGGTACAGAAACACCAGGGATGATTTCAAATGACTTTACGGTCGATGGCAAACATAATTGTATATTATTGTAGATCGATGGATGTTGTGCTAGATTTCTGGTCCGCATATGATTGAATTTTATTGTAATCATCAGATTTATACTTGTCTGGCACTACATAGTGTCTGTCCTGTGAGGACACGTCACAATCCGCACGGCTGAGGGCCCCTCCATAGTGCGATTCCGGTCAATCTCCCACATGTGGGAGGCAATGGAGCATCCGGATCCCTGGGGATTCCAGGTCCGCAGCATTGTGGAGAGGTACCGAGAATTACCCAAGGATTCGGTGACTTGGGTCTTCGTGGACTTCCTGTCGCTGTATCAGTACAAGAGATCTGCTGAAGAAGATGAGTTCTTCAGGAAGGGGCTGAAGCGAATGCACTGGCTGTACAGTCATGAGATTGTGCAGGTAGACATCCTCACTGAACTCACACCTGAGGACAAGAAGTTCGAGGGCGAGATTTTGGTGTACAACGCGACGGAAGACCAGGTGAAAGTGACACCAATCTGCGAGCTGAGGCTGAACAACACCCCCTATGAGCTTCGAGGTTGGTGCCAGAGTGAATCTGAGTGGTCCCGCCTGCGTATGGATGTGCTTGGAGGTTGTATTCCCACTCCTCCAGAAATATTCAGGAAGAGGATGCAACGGATGCGGTTCACGCATCGAAATGATGCCGAGCAGGTGCTTGCATTGCAAGAAAAGGTGTTCAGAGACAAAGTCTCCAGGACAACACACTTGCAGCTCCAACAACTCTCTGGGGATGACTTGGAATGTCTACATGACGCCTTGCCACACTACACCAAACTGGAGTACATGGTGGTGAACGGCAATGCCCTGAAGGGGCAAGATGCCGCGGCGATGGTGACCTCAGGTGCGGCGGACATCCAAATGGAGTCGTGTTCTCTACAAGATGAAGATGCAGGTGCAATATCAGAGGCACTGATGAGCTCAGCTGCTGATCGATTGGAACATCTGAGTCTGACTGGAAACCGTTTTTTGGCGATATGTTTGGCATTGTTTTACATTGTTTTGAACCTTTGGAATGACGGCATGTTTTTTTCACCCCCAATCTCGGAAAGATGAACGAAGATGTTGGAGTCTGTGAGATGAGAAGATGTTGAAATGGACACAACTCAAAGTTGTAGCAGCCAGGCTTCAGTGACATCGGGACAGCTGCCCTTCGCAAAGTGATGGAGCAGCGACCGCAGCTGAAGATCCGATTGTAGATTTAGAATGATTCAGATAGATTTAGATGGTCAGTCGGACGGGCTGCTACCAAGTTGCGACACCGCAAGTCTATGAAACCGTGTGGGGATTTCCATACATAGGGATACCCCAAAATGGATGTTTAAATGGATGGGTTATAATGGACAATTCTATGTCTAAATGGATGATTTAGGGGCACCCCATTTCAGGAAACCCCCATGTAGGAAATCGGAGTTGGCCAAAGGATATGCCGCAATGCACTTGCCATGTCTTCGGAGAATGAATGAAGCGCAGGAGAATTGGAGCAGAACTTTACAGCCACTATATCCGGAAACTCCAACTGAAGCACACCAAAAGAATCCAAAAAAAATACAAGTCCAATTGGTACAGTGCAATATCCTTTGGCCTGCTAGAGAACGTCACCAGATCATTTGCACATCATGTTTCACGCGCTGAATTGTGTTTGTCGACAAGGCGCACAGAATTTCACATGCTGTTGCCGAACATGGCATAGCAATTGCAACAATTGGGCGAAGGAAAACAGATTGCGAAGATGTGGCCATGGCCTGAAAACCAGGGGTGTCCTGGGATGATTGGGATACGCTTTGAGAAGGCGTTCCCATTTTGAAGGGTTGGAGTCTTCAGTGCAATGGGAAAGCTTCCTTCTGTGAGGTGAATTATCTACAGATGGTACCAAATGGGGATGAATGGCAAGGAAAATTAATTCTGTACATCACATTGATTTGTCATCGCACAGAGTATCATGGTTCTTCCATGGACGTCAAAATTTCCACTACCAAAAGGCTGTGCTTGAGGGCCCTTGCGAACTGCATTTCAATAAGAAAATTGCATTCCCAAACCAGTCTTGTGCACATGCTTTTGTAGGCGGGCTGTGTTTTTGTAGAACTTTTGAATCTTATAAAAACCAGGTGCCCTTTTGTAGGGAACATTGTTTTTTGGTCATGCAAAACCATGAGCACAAGAGCCCTCATTTTGTAGGAGACATGTTGGTCAAGTAAAAAAGGGTCAAATGGTTCTATTTTGCTCGGGCGCTCATTTTTGTAATGCTGTAATTTGTTTTGCATTTGGTAGGCATTCATGCCCGTGCCCACAGTAGCCTTTTTTTGGGCTTTGTTTGTTGAAGGACATTTGTGATTTCAGTGCTGTGACCGAAAGGGGGTTGCAGAAAAGCGCTACAGAGGGCTTAAATCTATTTTGTTGGTGTGAATGGAGTTGTGCCCTTTATTTTGTATTACAGGATCGGAATGACAACCTGATATTTGACTACTGATATTGAATAAAGGAAATAAACAACGGATATCCCGGTTCTATTCGGAAAGATTTGGCACAGGCTTGCAGAAGTGGATGGTTACCCCAAACCCGGGCTGGCTCTCTACAAAAAGGGTACCCCCTTCATCAATCCTACAAAAAGATTAAAAACGCTTGCCCATGAAAACCGTTTCATCCTTTCAAATCCTGGTTTATCCGGAGAATTTCACAGTCCATGCCTTTTGGGTTCCCCAAAAAAACAAGAAATGCCCAAAGAAGCCATTTTGGATAAGAACTCGAACAGGGAAAGTCATGAGCGGATGTTCCGATTCTATTGGTACAGGTTCGGCATTGGTTTACCGAATGTCAACGGTAGGCCCCAAATCTGTTTAGAGGGCTTGCCAGTGACATGCGCCAACAAAAAGATCAAAAAGGCCTGCCCATTCGAACTCGATCGCCTAGCGCAATTCAAACTTAAACCCAGCAAGGCTGAAGACAACTTTCTTTAGAAGAATTATGTGTGAAATATAATGGAAGAACTAACACGTCGGTTTGTTCGATTGACATGGGACAGTCCCAGCGCAAACTCAGGATCTGACACATCTTGTGACTCACACGAATCACGCGAAGAAAAAAAACACATTCAGATCTGATTCATCCTAGCAATCCCCAGGGGTCACCGGTGGTTCACTACCTTTTGTTTTTTTCTTGCATGTTTAGACCCAAAATCAATGAAAAATGGGCTCACTACAAAAAGGAATCCCGTTCTAAGAATTATCAACAAAATGGGCCATTTAGACATCTATATAGACATCTAAAATCACAGTGTCTTTTAGTAGGGGCTTTAGAAGGGGTGGGTGCTTCCTTTTGGTAGGGTTTTTTTTGGTTGTTTTTGACCTCAAGCACCCATTTATGTAGTAGGGTGGGTTGGAACAAGGCTTTATAGCTACAAAAAGCGGTGGCCAACCCACCCCCTGAAATTTCAACCCCCATGTTCTTCCTGCATATGGCCAGCTGGATCAAGATGTCAGGAAACTTTTATGTCTCAGTGGCTTCACTGGTGGCTTTCATCACTTTATTTTGTAGTATCTCACAAAGGTATATGTAGCTAGAGCCAGGCCCTTCCTTTCCCCAATTCGAAGTCAAAATTCCAGCAACCGTTATCACTTCTAAGACCCTTTTTAAACGTAACATCAATCAATTCGGAATTCAAAAACACACATGCATATCAATAATACATGTATCATATATATATATATTCACATATCTTCACATTTTTAATACGTTTCTATTCATATCCCCTACATCTCAGGTTACCCCGCAGGTGTCACACCAACCGAAAGCCAACGTCGCCATGCGGGACGCAGCCCTTCATGATGTGGTGACCGCAGCCTCGGCACCCTGGACGGTGCCGAAGAAGGTACCCTTCAGGGCGAATGGGTCATCAAACCATGGAGGAAACCATGGGGAAAACGAGGAAAACGAGGTTTTCAGCTTTTGGATTCCGGGGGTCTTCTCAGACTAAGTTTTGGATCAACCCAAATACTTTGGTAAATGGGTTATTCTTAAAGTGGCGGACCCCAAGTTATCAGTTATCATGCCAAATTCTCCATTTTCTGTGGGGAAACCAAAGGTTTTGGGGTACTCCAAGATTACAGTTTAAAGCGCCACAAAATGGTTCTTGTAACAGGAGGAATCTCAAACATGGATCAACATGGTTGCAGGTATTATAGTTTAGAAATCATCGTAATTTGATTGGAGTTTTTGAAGGGTTAAACAGATATCCCGATCATATGGGCTTAAACATAGTGTTGTTAATGGCTATTAGATGTTTAAGGGTCACAGTGCCAGAATTGCTTGAAGAGAACATTTGCAGGCTTTACCTCCATATTTGAAAAGAAAAGCCCATGGTTCCCCAAAAAGATTTTCCCTGAATGTTTCCTCGTGATGTCAACGGCGAGTTTGATTTACAATAAAGGGGATGGTCAACGGTTTCATCCACCAGAGCGCTCCCATGATTGTACTTCTTTTGTGCTGAAGTATGATCTAAACACAAAGTTCAGCTTAGTATGGATTATATAATTAGATATGGGATTTTTCGTCTGAAATATGGAACTAGTTCCATATATCTAATTTGCTTTTCTTTTTATGACACATGTGCCCCCAAGGGCATCAATCCATGTGTGGATTCCCATGGGAGGGATGACCATATCAGATCGTTGGTGATTAACGTCCATTTTTGTCATTATAATTCCTGGAATTGTGGATGGTTTAGTCAAAATAAAATCCCTTGATCATCCCATTGAGTACACATCGAACTTGACGATAGCAGCGATAGCACATGTGCAATCTATCATATTTTATTCATTTTTTTAATAAGATATGTCCAACTGTATATCCTACTACCAGTATCCCCACCATAATATCATTGTAATCCCATAAACTGATTGGTGATCCAGGCTTTTCACTGGGATGGCCCTCATCAGAGCCCCTTGCCGAAGCAGACAGGTGTGCCAATAGCAACCGTTATTGGTGGGGGTGTTCTATTGGTGAGACCATCGGTCACCATCAATTGGTTGCATCCTCCCTGTCATGTGGACTTTTCTGGCCACCGAGGACAATGAATTACATGAGAATGGTGAAGAGGCGACTGGAAGAGAGAAGAGTTCCAGTGATGGTCCAAGCTCAGGTCGGCCAAAGTTTCGCCGAGCTGACGCGGATAGGATTGGCCCGTGCCAAAGGCATGGTGGCCTTCTGCACGTCGGACTACGGCGCCTATACAGGTGCTGGTTACGAAACCTTCCATGAATTGGAATATGCACACGACAACAAGTTGCATATCTTTCCCATTAGGCTCTGCGAAGAGTGGCCACCCGCGCCGCAAAACAATCCAAGAGGCACTTTTCAAAATGAATTTGTGTTCAAGAACGGCTTAGTATACGTAGACGATCGGCAGATGAACAATGCCGAAGGCGCTGCCGATCAGATTGCGGATTCTGTTACCAGAGGTGGCATCTTTGCCAATTAGGCAAAGTCAAAAAAAATCGAAAAATGTGGCAGAAATCAAAAAACGTACTGCTGCCGGATTCCACCCTCTCATGGTGCGCTCCTTTGTGATTTTGGATTAAATTAGGTCAAGTAACAGGCTGATCATCCTTAACGATCAGAAGAGTTCACCCGAAGTGAGACATTCAAAACATCTAGAATACGGGCCTCAAAGTCCTTGTTACTCTAAGATTTCGAAAGCAAGGCAGGCAGATGAACCTGAAAAGAACCTTGCAGTTGAGCATGCGCTGAGTCGCAAACCCTTTGGACGTTTGCTTCAGGCAGTGCCAGGCCGCAGGTATTTGTTGCGGTTGTTTGAAGGTGATTCATGTGCACATTATACTCATTATACCAAAGGTTCGAATTCCTGTAGTTCTCGGCTCAGCTTACACTTTTTTTCACCCAGAGTTCATTGACCATCAGGGTTGAAGAGACATCACGCCATGACTAACCTAGACTATGAATCTTAAGCATGCTGGTGAATCTGGATTGCAGACCCGGCTTGTTGCTTACGGCGAAAAATGGCTTATGCCGTTCCAGAGCCAGAGCCTGTCCTGGTTTGAAATCAATGGATTGCCAGACCTCCAGAGTTTCAACAGGTGATTCACTTGGAACCAGATGTTGCCCTGAAGTTTTCATCATTTTCACATCAGTTTCACCATCCTTGCGGAAATTCCCCTAGGGAATTCCACCTTCATGGCAAAGGATGGCCAAGATACCTCGGCAGGGCGTCCCAGATGTGAGATCTCCAACTTTGGAATCTACGCTGTTCTGACGTTGGAAGCTGATATGGTGAAAACATGTGAAAACAACAAACTTGTTGGGATCAAGTCAGGGCTGGTTCTCACCGGTCTCCTTGACGAATCGAGTCCAAAGATTTCCACTTTTAATTTTACCTGTTTACGAATGTCCAGGGCATTTGTTTCAACTTCTTGCAGGTTCTCACCGATTGACCTAGGTTTCTCTAATCATCCAAGTTGACACTGCAAAACAAAGTTGTGGTTACAGAAGGATTGTCTCGCAAGTTCAAGTGGTATATCATGGTACATGATGTTTTTTAGATTTCTATAGTCTATACTGTAGGATCTATTCCCCCTTTCATGGATGTGTTTGCGGATGTCCAGCTGCGTCGTTTCAGCTTCTCACTGGCTTTGTTTTTAGTAGTTGGTTGGTCTAAGTTTTGTTTCCAGGTTGACACTCCATATCGTTGACATCCACGCCAAGAAGCGGCAAATCTATGCAAAATTGCTGCAATTCTACCGTACCCTAAAACCGTCAGTGAGGGCCAAGGCTGTTGATGCACCTTAGGGATGTCCCAAAAAACAGGGGGGGCATCCCAATCCCCACGCTGTTGCGTTTCCCAAAAAAGGCAACGAATTGGTCCATGGTGGATTCTTGTTGGGCCCCCACTTCAGAAACACCCAACTTCTGAAGTTCCTGTCTAGCGCACCAGGCAGACCATGCTGGCCTTGAAGCAATTTTCCAGCACTTGGATCCCACCGGACTCTCAACTGCAACAGTTTTGGGATCTGCGTTTTTGATGCGATCTGCTCCTGGGTTCGTGTCGTTGTGTCGTTGGACTGGACTCGGTGGGGAACGGGACTCAGGAAGTGGAACGCTCGGGAAGGAGGAGCTGCTGTCCATCCTCTCTGGCCTTGGCGTTTCTGATAAAGAGCTGCCTGGCTCACCTTGTCATGTCGTCATGTCGTCATGTCGGCATGATGATCATAATGACAGGACCTGAACTGCCAAAGGTATCCAAAGGTCAGAAATGGAGAAACGCCCCAGTCCCTGGATGGATTGTAGACATACACTTGTATCATTTGAACAATTCAGCCGTTTTGGGATTTGATGGAACTATCTCTTTACCATTCATCTCACTAAAATCAGGGATCACTAAACCGCCAAGACACAGCTGCAATGTGGTGCTTCATTCGCCAAGGTTAGCCTTGCTTCAAACCACAGATGCTTGGTTTGATACACGCTTCATACAGAAATCTTAGGATATCTAGGACCTAGGACCTAGATTGAGTTTCCAATGGATCAGGTTCAGGTCGTCACTGTTGACTTTCAGTTTTGGCTGTGGGGTGATTTTCTGTGACTTGTTCGAACACATTGAAAGATGGCAAGGAAGGCAATTGAAGGTCAGTGGGCTGTTAAGGAGATGTTTCAAGACCAACGAGTTCCCTACTCGCGCTTCCTCCGCTGGATTTTTGCACCAGCATCCAACTCTGAAAGTGGTCATCAAACCGATGTTGCATCGCATCTTGCCAGATTAATGCCGCACTTCTGCCAGAACTGCCAAGGTTGTCATGATATGGTAAACACATGCAAACATAAAGCAGGACACTATGCTGATCCATTTGATACCGCTTGGTGGTTTCAAGCCACTCTGTGGGCTTTCGATGATCGCTGTGAAGTCCTTGTTCCTTCCCGAGTTTTTCATAGCCATGATCCAGGCAAGATGTTCAGACAGAGCTCAACATCTCAGAGCCCAATGACCTTGGTCTCTTGGCGCAGCTCGATTGAGGATGTTGAGGTCTTAAGACATCTTTAGACCTAGACCCTTCCAATGGCTTGAAAGTCAGCAGTCAGACCTTGCTTTGAAGTTGATGACTCAGATGGAATTTTCATATCTTTGATAAAGAAAGCAATGAGAACATCGGACGGGAATGTGGCAGACTTGCTCTAACTTCACCCAGAAGGAACTTGATTGGGCTTCACTCACCGGGTCCGTCCAATGACAGGGCACCGCGTCATATCCGACAAGGGTGTCGTGTCGAAGACGGCTCTTGACACGTCATGAGTGTCAGCATCTGGAGTAAGCATAGATTCTATAAATGGTTGATGTTGATGATGGTGGACAGTCCACAGTTGATGCGGGTCGCAAATTCTTCCAAGTCCATTGGTGGTAGATGAACAACTTGGCTTTTCATGAGGACTGACCACAAAAACACGTCACATCCTGAGGTTCCAAGGTGGAAGCGGAGGACTGGCGATCTGGGGGAAGTTGTTTCCATTGGGATCCACAGGGGACAAAGTTTCACAGAGTTGAGAAGTATTCACGAGGACGTGTTGGCGCGGTAGGTCGTATTGACTGATTTGACTGGCTTTATCTTGCTTTGTTGGGATCTACATTTTTTGCAATGATATTGTATCCACCTGGATGATTTCCATAATTCGTCCTGTTGGGGCAAATGAATGCAAATGTCCCTCACTGGGTGACCTCCAAGCATTCCTCAGATTTCGGGTTTCAATCTCAAACCAGGCATCATATTTTCCACGCCTTTTCTGCAACAGAGAAAACTAGAGCTGAATCTCTAAGATCTCTTTTCGCTTAATTTTTGGTTGTCCAAAAAATCGTGCTTTGCTTTCCAGGCAGATGAAACTGAAATCGAAAGTTGCTGAGATCTCAGACTTGAGGATTCCATGAGATGTTTCCTCACATGTTCAGGCTTGAGGATCCATGCTCAATGACATGTGACATTGGGCTTTGAAAGATGCGTTTATCAAATGCGTTTAAATTTGCTTTTGCACTCTGGGTGCTGCCAGGGCATGACAATCATTTGTTAATATTTGTTAGTCAAATGAACCAAGTTCAGGAACGCAAAAGCCGCAGAATCTATAGAATCTATACTATTATGACATTATGATACATTATGACTGATCCACTGGTATAATATATTACGAATAAACCTTGGACTGCCAGACACTGCCAGACATCCAGAGTTTCGGCCATTTTGAGGCGGAGACATCTTGCAGGCTGCAGAAGAAGGCAACGTCGGAGCTGTCGGACGCTTGCTGCAGGTGGACCGCCAGAGCCTGGAGCAAGTCAACACAGACGGCGGACTCCTGAGAAAGGATAGGCTTGAAGGTTGAGGAGGTTGTTATAGGTTCGCAGCTGTGACTTCCCAATCCAGTTGAGACTGTTTTTTGGTTGAGACTGATTTGAGACATGTTGCTGATACCAGTATGTGTTTCAGTCGGAAGCCAAACTCCCAATTTTTCAGACCCGAAATCCTCCGAAATCCTCCGAAGCAACTCATGCGACCTGGCGCATCCCGTCGCCATCTCCAGCGGCGCCCTCCGGACCGAGGCATGGGGCCGCTGCACTTGGCGGCTGCCAAAGGCCACCTGGAGGTGGTCGAGGCGCTGCTGGCCGCGGGCGCCTCCGTCGAGGCGAAGGATGGCAACGGCTGCGGCCCCCAGAGACGGGACGGATGTGACAGGACGGACGTGGTGGGAAGGCGGTGCAACGGGTGAAATGTGGCAGAGATGCGACACGCCATTGAGTTTGCTGCCAGTTTTGGGAACTTCGTTCCAGGAATCTTCAGTGGACTTTATACGTGATTGCATGTTGAGAAGTCAAGTACCAGTAGACACCAGTTACAAGTTTGACAATATTATTCAGAGTGGTTCGGGTGGTTGAGTCAAGTTGAGGAGACCCTTTGCGGGTCTAGTATTGTTAATTATGGCAGATGGATGCAAATGGATTCTAATGATTTCTTGCTTAGATTGTAGTGTGTTATTGTGAATCTTTGATCTGGTTTGCAGTGGATAGCACAGCAGAGATGTGACTTCCCAATCAGTTGATCCTGATTTCGATGGGCAGTGATACATGTCTCAGTTAGAAATGGTGGACCAAACATGACCAAACTCCCAGTTTTTCAGATCCGAAATCCTCCGAAATCGTTGCCATCTCCAGCGGCACCCTCCGGACCGAGGCTCCGGGCCGCTGCACTTTGCGGCTTTTAAAGGCCACCTGGAGGTGGTCGAGGCGCTGCTGGCCGCTGGTGCCTCCGTCGAGGCGAAGAACGACAACGGCTGCGGCCCCCAGAGCCGGGACGGACGCGACAGGGAAATGGAGTTTGCCACCTTAGCTGGAGATGAACCCAGGTGAGAGCCACAGGGTGGACAATTTGAAGGAAATCAGGCACATGAAGTCATGAAGTTGTCCCTGCTGGGATGCACAGCTTCTGAGAGGTGATCTCGCACATGTGCAACCTTGATCAACCCTTTATGGGTGTAAAAGAGCCTGATACATAAGGTTTTATGATGTTTTATGATGTTTTTTTCAGTTCGGTTTCGCTTTTCCGGGTTTCAGCTTTGTAAATCTTTGTATAAGGTATGGTCGTAGTCGTAGTCTTGTTGATCTTCACAAACACCAGCAACGATAGTGGCTGCCATTGAGCCAGCTTGCCACACAATTTTGAAAAGGATGAAACTCCATGTTGAGAAGTCAACTACCAGTAGACAGCAGTTGCAAGTTTGTGTTGCGGGTATGTCACACAGTGGTTCGGGTGGTTGAGTCAAGTTTAGGAGACATTTTGGGGGTCTAGGATTATTAATTATGGCAGATAGATGCAAAAGAGGGCTTGAGAATACTTGAGTTATGTTGAGATAAGTTTTGTTAGGCGTAAGAAAACGGTTTTCCATGGTTTTCCCTTTTTCGGATTTTCTGTTGTGGAAGGTTCCATCAGTACATAGTCTTGGTGATCTTAATAAACACCACCAGCGATAGTGGCTGCCATTGAACCTAGTGGCTGCCATTGAACCAGCTCGCTATACAATTTAAAAAAAGATGAAACTCACGGACTTCACTCCACAGATTGCAGTTTCTTCCACTGCAGTGGGGGTGGGCGGTGGAGAGCAACGGGGTGGAGCCAGCCGTTGACGTCTCCGAGCCCTTCGGCGCCTGAGGTCGGACACCTCTGCACTGGGCGGCTCTCTACGGCCACACCGCCGCTGTGGAGCAGCTCCTCGCCGCGGGCGCCGCCGTGGATGCTGTGGGCAACCAAGGCCAGGGGGGCCGGAAACGGCCGGTGGGGACGACAGGGGGTGGAGGGAGGGATGATGTGATGCAGAGTGAGTGAAAGAACAACTCGGTGACAAGTTGCTTGATGATTTTGAATGCGCCATGTACACAGAGCTGTGACAGGATTGGTGTCAATTAGGTGGGATTAGGATTTTTTGAATCTTCTCATACGCCATGGTGAGGTATTTTGGCAAGTGACAAGAACACAGTGGCATCCACTGGTATCTTTGGGGTGCCCCATCACTGCAGGGATATAACATGATATAACACGAATTGTCCACACGCCATGTCCACCTTTGACAAAACATTCCCTGCATGACGATGGTAAGACATCGATGTGAAACACAACAAGACATCATAAAACATCTTGAGAGAGAAGAACTCTTGCACATTTGCTACTCGTATGGGCCTACTGTATGGGTGTGAAAGAGCGCTTGAAAATGCTTGAGATATGTTGAGATAAGTTAGTCGTAAGAAAACTGTTTTCCCTTTTTCGGATTTTCTGTTGTGGACGGTTCCATCAGTTGGTAGTCTTGGTGATCTTCACAACACCAGCAACGATAGTGGCTGCCATTGAGCCAGCTCGCTATACGATTTTGTAAAAGATGAAACTCACGGACTTCACTCCACAGATTGCAGTTTCTCCCACTGCAGTGGGGTGGGCGGTGGAGAGCCACGGGGTGGAGCCCTCCAGCCGTTGACGTCTCCGAGCCCTTCGGCGCCTGAGGTGCGACACCGCTGCACTACGCGGCTCTCAACGGCCACACCGCCGCTGTGGAGCAGCTCCTCGCCGCGGGCGCCGCCGTGGATGCTTTGGACAGCGAAGGCCAGGGTCCCCGGAAACGGCCGGTGGGGACGACAGGGAATGGAGTGGAGGGATGATCTGATGCAGAGTGAGTGAAAGAACAAACTCGGTTTAAAGTTGTTTGATGATTTTGAATGCGCCATGTGCACAGAGCTGTGGCAGGATAAAACTAATAGGTGCTATTTGCGGTAGATGGAATTGTTTTTTTTGAATCTTCTCAAGTGCATGCACTGCACCAGCAAAGCCAGAAACATGAACGTATTCTGAGTTTGTTTCAGGCTGTGGAGATTGCTTTTTTTTTTGGCGCTGTCGTGGTGGGATGTTTGGCAAGTGTCAACATGGGGTGACACGCCGACACCAGCCACAGAAGACAGTGGCATCCACTGGCACAGTAAGAACTTGTTAAGAATGATATGATTTTGGAAACAGCGATTAGGATACCAACGATAAGGTTATATATAGGGGGTGAAAGTGGGTGATATGATATGTAGGAAATATGCTAGTACGTCCTCCAGACATCAACGTGAAGCATCCGTAAAACAACTTGAAAAGCAATGACACTAGATGAATCTAAATGATACTACTGGATACTACTGGTATCTGGATTTTGGGGCCAAACTCAGCCCCACATCCGTCTACACCGGGCCCTCGCACTTCCAGCTGCGTATCGCAAGGCAAGACGCCGTACGACTACGCCAAGAAAATGGGCCGCCAGAAGGTGATGGGTGTGCTGGACCCGGTCCCTTGGCGCTGGGATGAACATCCCTTGGTGGACCAGGGCTTCGGCACATGTGGGCTATAGGAACATGATGAAGAAAAGACGGTGGTTCTTATTGGGTCGTTGCAATCCTGATGTTGTGAAGCTGTCATGCGCTCGAATTGACTCCGATGCGTTGCCATTCTTTTGTGAGGTATTTGTGGCCCTTCTCAGTGGCCGGAGCTGCAAATGTGCCTCGGCTGCTCCGAAATTTGCAGTGGGTAAATGGTGGACAGGTACTTTAGTGCCGTAATTCGTCGCAATCTTTTGCCAGTCATGTAGGGTGTTTCAGGGTTATCTGGATTGGCAATGTGTAGAATTTGAAGAGAACCAAGCAATTGAAGTGCTCAAAAGATGCATGAGGTGAGTGACTCGGTCACTTGATACGACCTGCAGACATAAAAGGCTGTACGGTTTGTTGGTTGCCACGCATCAACGTTTCTGATATTTTCCGTCAAACCTGAGCTGTTGGTGAGTGGCTGTTATGTGCAACCTGGGAATGCAAGCAACTATGACACTCAGGTAGTTCTTATCACGAGACGGTGCAGGAATTGAAGGAAGAAGCAGAGAAGCTTGGCTTTCTCCGAGGCCATATCAAACCATCTTGGTCGAAATGCTTGTGTTCTGTTGGTCTGACAACGTTTGCAGTTCTTGCATTTTGATCTAATGCGTTTGTGAGATGGACATGCAAATTAATATTCCATGAGCCGACTGATGGCGATTTTTTTATATCTTGGACTCGCATGGCCATACTTTGACTGTTCTGAGTCTTTTTTCATGTCCCCTCTCCCTGAATCTGTAGTTGTTGTTTTATGCAGTTGTGTGGTATTATCGAAGAAGATGCAATATGGTAGGCTCTGTACGAAGAAATTGACACCCCTCCTCCAATTTACTTGACAGGGCAAATCAGGCAGCCTCTTCTGTCCACTGCCTTTGTTGCAATAAGACTTCCTGGATTCCTCAATGTACCATGTTGGCCGAGAATGAACGGACATGCTTAGACAACAATGGTATGACGACACACATTGCAACAACATGCAAACCCATGGCAAAATATATGCGACGGCGACAACATGTTTTTGCGTTTCGCAACAAGTCCAAAGATGCTTGTGCCGTAATTCATCTGATTGTGCAAATTGAACATGTCATCCCGGTATTCAGAGGCATGGCGTTGCCTACCCACGGCTACACAAGACCCGTGATGCTTTGATAAGCTACTGTAAATTCCCTGCAGTCCGAAATTGGATGAAGGGTGAATGAGCCATTGCAGATCGAGGCTTGCACTTCGATTGATGAGGTTTATCATATCATTATCTTTCATTGCATCTGGCACTCCTGTTTGTTGCATGGGAAAGATGGGATATGCAGGGGTGATAATCAGATCTTAGCGAGCTCACGCGCTGTCACCAAGATGTGACCCTGGGATGTGTCAGTTGGCCCTGCCGGATTCCCCGTGCTCGACCGTGCCACGCGTCGCGGTTCCGAGGAAGAAACTCGGAATCACCATCCAGCGTCTCATTGGGGTGAACATGGAACCATTGCTGCTTGGCACAGAACTTGATGCTGAATAGAGGGACGACGTTTAGATGTATTTAGATGTATTTAGATTCTATACGAATCTAGAGCTTGAGCCTTCTGGGATGCTCACTGGGTCAGTGACAAGACTCTTCAGTGACGATGGGGACCTCTGTGTTTCGTGGTGGTTTGGTGTATTCGAATCTTTCACCCCATGCAGCTGGGGACATTCAATGTGATAAGGTGACCAAGGTCGTTGAGAATGGAAATATTTGGAAACCGTTTTCAAGGCTCTGCCGGCATAGTAGATGCTGATGGCAAAAGACAAATATATTATATGCGATGGGAAAGCTGTTTGATAGTGCTTCAAATGAGACAGAAGGTGCAGCTGTTGCTGTTTGTTCGAGAGAGTCAGTGAAAGAGTGATGCGGAACATTGCAGAACAAACAGCAGAAGCGGCCACGAATGCAAAGGTCTGCCTGTCGGGAAATATTGGGAGAGGAATGAAAACGCTTGTCACATCTTATCACATCTTATCGTCCAAAGTGCAAACTTAGCCTGGATATTGCTATTCAGCGCAAGTTTTACGAGGTCAATTCAAATCCTGCTTTTCCGTGACTTTGTATATATAGGTTAATTAATTCTTGGTAGCATCCAGTTTTACATGTGCTTAAGGAAGTTGACCATGTCCCTACCCACGGTTGGTTCAAAGTGATTCACAGGTCGTTCACGGATCAGTCACGGTCTGTTTGTGCTCGGCAGGGAGCACGGCATTCCAGAGAAAGTGGTCCAGATCTGATAAATTTGACTAATCTTGGATGACTTGGTTTGACCGAAAATCCCAATGTTTTTGAACCGCGAAGACTCCTCTTGGTTAGAGAAGATATCGCACAGTGAAGGATGATCATATGCAAGTAGAACCAGTTGATTAAGATAAGTCGAACAAGTTTGACAAGGTCATTGATCTACAGAGATCCTAAGATCCTAGCAATTTATACCAGGCACTGCACTCTTTAGATGCATTGGTCATGCTGGCTTTAAGCGAACTTACTCTGATCCTCACAACGCGGTCGCAACAGACTTGTAATTGTAGGAGTCAACTCCTGAAGCGACTGCATCAACCCCAAATTTGTCAAGTTCGCCGTCCCAAACAATTTGGAGCTTGGTCCAGCCATCAGGAACGAAGCAAAGACTTTGGGTCAAGCCGGTGTTTTGCCTGGACATACTTTGACCGCAGTCATCGTTCCCCGGCCTGCAAGAGTGATGTGAGTCACGCATTGCCATGGGAAGATTCTGATTGGAACTCGATTTTACAAGAAAACACTGCAAAACCGGCAACAAACTGTCGATTCAATTCAGCCCAAAGTCATGAGATCAGTTCTTAGCTCCGCACAGTTGTTATCGCATCCCTTATGGTGACCAAGATGTTTGCAAATTAGCTGCAGAGCACCTTTTTTTTGATCATGTTTTTCCCTGCTACATTTTGCTTCGAAGCTTTGTAGGCGCCAGCAGCGGGGCAGGGTGATGTCTCAGAGGCGGGTCGTATCGATGTGGGAGACAACATTCTGCAGGGAGGCTCTGGAATTCCCGTGAAATGACGGCCAGGTGGGCCAGAACTTCAATGGCAGCCACTTTGAAAGTTGCAAGATTTGCCAATGTCCAGTCTTTGGATGCAGCTCCATGTAGCTAGGTGATGTCGGAGTTCTCATATGTGTATTTCTGTGCGTGAAGGATTGCAAATGGTGTACGGTTGCGTTGCTTGGGTCTGCATTGCTGGGATCAACTCCAAAGGTTCGTGAGATAACATCCGAAGACGAAACCCAGACATTTGAGATGCACCTTCAACAAGCACAGCATCTCTGTACACACCTGATTTTCAATGAATGATTTTCATGAACCTTATACGCAGTGATTTCTGTTGAACTTTGTAGAATATGGCTGGATCCCACAGGAGAAGCAGTTGGCAGAGGATGAAGGCCGCAAAGATGATGGCGCTTGTGATTGATCAGGGTAATCAATGCTATAAATTGGTGGTAGTTCTTATAGTTGGGTGGGTAAGAGGGGATGTCTGCCAAGAGACAAGCTCAGTAGGGTATTCAATGCAGCACTTACAAACACACATCAGTCAAGCTGTCAACCGTCAACAGGTATTCCAATTATCATTAGTTGGATCCAAAGTCACACATCATCTCCAGGGTCTGATTTTTAAGAGTTTGGGACCGGAATTGACTGAGCCACGATGAAATCCAGGGGGGCTCTAGCAGTCACGGTCCGGCTGTATGATGCTGCCAGGCGATTTGCAAAATCCCAACGACTTCATTGAGTTCCTCATCTCCGCGAACATTCGGCTGGTCCGCGCTGAGTTTTTGATCGAGCTGGATGAGACTGGGACCCCCATGCCTCGCCGACAAGAGGCAGAGTTCATGCACGTGCAGAGTGGGGCAACTGCACTGGTGGAGCTTGGTGAGTACAAAGAGTTGCACGTGAATCAAACATCAGGCTGGCTCAGTCCCTGCAAACATCCAGAGGTACAAAAACACCAGAGATGATTTCAAATGACTTTACGGTCTCTAGATGGCAAACATAAATGTATATTATTGTAGATCGATGGATGTTGTGCTAGATTTCTGGTCCGCATATGATTGCATTTTACTGTAATCATCAGATTTATGCTTGTCTGGCACTACATAGTGTCCGCCCTGTGAGGACACGTCACAATCCGCACGGCTGAGGGCCCCTCCACAGTGCGATTCCGGTCAATCTCCCACATGTGGGAGGCAATGGAGCATCCGGATCCCTGGGGATTCCAGGTCGCCAGCATTGTGGAGAGGTACCGAGAATTACCCACGGATTCGGTGACGTGGGTCTTCGTGGACTTCATGTCGCTGTATCAGTACAAGAGATCTGCTGAAGAAGATGAGTTCTTCAGGAAGGGGCTGAAGCGAATGCACTGGCTGTACAGTCATGAGATTGTGCAGGTAGACATCCTCACTGAACTCACACCTGAGGACAAGAAGTTCGAGGGCGAGATTTTGGTGTACAACGCGACGGAAGACCAGGTGAAAGTGACACCAATCTGCGAGCTGAGGCTGAACAACACCCCCTATGAGCTTCGAGGTTGGTGCCAGAGTGAATCTGAGTGGTCCCGCCTGCGTATGGATGTGCTTGGAGGTTGTATTCCCACTCCTCCAGACATATTCAGGAAGAGGATGCAACGGATGCGGTTCACGCATCGAAATGATGCCGAGCAGGTGCTTGCATTGCAAGAAAAGGTGTTCAGAGACAAAGTCTCCAGGACAACACACTTGCAGCTCCAACAACTCTCGGCGGATGACCTGGAATGTCTACGTAAGGCCTTGCCGCACTACAACAAACTGAAATACATGGTGGTTAATGGCAATGCCCTGAAGGGGCAAGATGCCGTGGCGATGGTGACCTCAGGTGCGGCGGACATCCAAATGGAGTCGTGTTCTCTACAAGATGAAGATGCAGATGCAATGGCAGAGGCACTGATGAGCTCAGCTGCTGATCGATTGGAACATCTGAGTCTGACTGGAAACCGTTTTTTGGCGATATGTTTGGCATTGTTTTACATTGTTTTGAGAACCTTTGGAATGAAGGCATGTTTTTTTTCACCCCCAATCTCTCAAAGATGAACGAAGATGTTGGAGTCTGTGAGATGAGAAGATGTTGAAATGGACACAACTGGAAGTTGTAGCAGCCAGGCTTCAGTGACATCGGGACAGCTGCCCTTCGCAAAGTGATGGAGCAGCGACCGCAGCTGAAGATCCGATTGTAGATTTAGAATGATTCAGATAGATTTAGATGGTCAGTCGGACGGGCTGCTTCCAAGTTGCGACACCGCAAGTCTATGAAACCGTGTGGGGATTTCCATAAATGGGGATACCCCAAAATGGATGGTTTACAATGGAAAATTCTATCTAAATGGATGATTTAGGGGTACCCCCATTTCAGGAAACCCCCATGTAGGAAATCGGAGTTGGCCGAAGGATATGCCGCAATGCACTTGCCATGTCTTCGGAGATGAATGAAGCGCAGGAGAATTGGAGCAGAACTTTACAGCCAAATCCGGAAACTCCAACGGTTGGCACACCAAAAGAATCCAAAAGAAATACAACTCCTGGTATAGTGCAATTTGGCCTGCTGGAGAACGTCACCAGATCATTTGCGCATGTTTCACGCGCTGAATTGTGTTTGTCGACAAGGCGCACTGAATTTCACATGCCGAAAATGGCATAGCAATTGCAACAATTGGGCGAAGGAAAACTGCGAAGATGTGGCCATGGCCATGGCCTGAAAACCAGGGATGTCCTGGGATGACTGGGATACGCTTTGAGGCGTTCCCATGAAGGGTTGGAGTCTTCAGTGCGGGAAAAGCTTCCTTCTCTGAAGTGAATCTACAGATGGTACCAAATGGAGAATGAATCGCAAGGAAAGCGAATGCTGTACATCACATTGATTAGTCATCGCACAGAGTATCATGGTTCTTCCTGCATATGGCCAGCTGGATCAAGATGTCAGGAAACTTTTATGTCTCAGTGGCTTCACTGGTGGCTTTCATCACTTTATTTTGTAGTATCTCACAAAGGTATAGCTAGAGCCAGGCCCTTCCTTTCCCCAATTCGAAGTCCGTTATCACTTCTAAGACCCTCTTTAAACGTAAAATCAATCAATTCGGAATTCAAAAGCACACATGCATATCCACAATGCATGTACATGTATCATATTCAGATGTCTTCACATTCTTCATATCTTTCTATACATATCCCCTACATGTCAGGTTACCCCGCAGGTGTCACACCAACCGAAAGCCAACGTCACAACGTCGCCATGCGGGACCCATCCCTTCATGATGTGGTGACCGCAGCCTCGGCACCCTGGACGGTGCCGAAGAAGGTACCCTTCAGGGCGAATGGGCCATCAAATCATGGAGGAAACCATGGGGAAAACGAGGAAAACGAGGTTTTCAGCTTTTGGATTCTGGGGGTCTTCTCAGACTAAGTTTTGGATCAACCCAAATACTTTGTTAAATGGGTTTTTCTTAAAGTGGCGGACCCCAAGTTATCAGTTATTATCATCCCAATTTCTCCATTTTCTGTGGGGGGAACCAAAGGCTTTGGGGTACTCCAAGGTATCTCCAAGGTTACAGTTTAAGGGGCCACATAATGGTTCTTGTAACAGGAGGAATCTCAAACATGGATCAACATGGTTGCAGGTATTATAGTTTCGACATTATTGTAATTTGATTTGAGTTTTTGAAGGGTTAAACAGATATCCCGATCATATGGGCTTAAACATGGTGTTGTTAATGGCTATTACAGTAGATGTTTAAGGGTCACAGTCCCAGAATTGCTTGAAGAGAACATTTGCAGGCTTTACCACCATATTTGAAAAGAAAAGCCCATGGTTCCCCAAAAAGATTTTCCCTGAATGTTTCCTCGTGATGTCAACGGCGAGTTTGATTTACAATAAAGGGGATGGTCAACGGTTTCATCCACCAGAGCGCTCCCATGATTGTACTTCTTTTGGGCTGAAGTATGATCTAAACACAAAGATTGTGACTAGTTCCATATCCAACTTGCTTTTCTTTTTATGGCACATGTGCCTTTGGGCATCAATCCATGAATAGGGCTTTATATACCAATCCTTCCCATGGCATGGGATGGATGACCATACCC